CCATGATCATATAGTATGAACGACGTTTTCCAGCATAAGTCGAACACATCCTCAATTTCAACGCTCGAAAATTTATTTTCAACACTACAAAACGAACTTGTTAACTGCCGGAAGAACGAATGTACATCAAAAACTTTTGAAGTTCAAGGAGATAAAAACATAACTCTTTAGCCATTTTTAGCATACTACTGCATTAATTTTATCTTTATGATAGGAATACTCTCTAGGTTATGATGCAATCAATATGAGTTGCTTCGAATAAGTTGGCTAAAATTCTAAAATTTGGGAATATACTACATACTAGTGTATTGATACCCATCATTAATTCACAATACGAGGCGTAAACATAATTTTTCTGGGAGGGCTGTGGATGTAGTAACTAGTCGACTTAGTTTTCTTATAAAATTTGCATTTGTTGAATTTATGAGTAATGATTATTTGTTAATTTATAATAACGAATGCAAACGGGATATTTACTAAATTTCGGTATACTATTGAAAATATTTTGTTAAAAAAACTATTGTTTTCCATCGGTATCTCACGGGGAGCAAAAGCTTCATGATTCCCCTTTCATCGGTCTACCTCTGTTGAACTTTTAATTTACGTACGAACTGGGTGCTTTGAACTGGGTGTATACAAATGCAGATAGATACAAATGTTCCACACTCCTCAGAAACACTTTACTGAACCGTAACAACAAACTAATAAATAATAAGCCCCACGTAAAGAACATCTATCAATATTTAAGAATATTAATATTAGTTATATAAAACTGAATCCAAACGACGGGTCAACACTTTATATTACATGAATAGAATCCTAGGAGACACCTAACAAACAAAAAACAAAACACGCTCTTGAAATAACATTCGTTTAGCTAAAACGTCTCTTCATTTCGTGTCCGTGGCGACACAGACCAAGCTTGGCTTGGAAGACCTCAGAGTAGTGTCGTGCTTTGATGGAGTTAAGATTTGTCACGTTTTGAACATTTCGATTGTGGAAGAAAGAAATCACGCACTTTTGTGCAAGAGATTGTATGATGTAAGCATCGTAGAACTGTGGATGTCGAAACACATTCCATGCAGCATAGTTTCTTGCATACCTTTTCTTGTGTGTGTAAGTAATTTCAATATTCAAAGACTTATGTCGTATAGATCTGATGAACAATGTTTGAAACTGTTACTGTTTGTGAAAACTGAAACTGAAACTGTTTATGTTAGTCATACTTTTATTATTTTTACGTATATTTTATTTTATGTATATAAGGGCTTCGCATATTTGTGATGATCGCTTGATGCATCATTCTAATTAAAAACCTTTTTCCCATAAAGAAAATCGAATGCTCATCTGTAAAGTAAAATTTCTTTGAACACGCTTGCATTCATCGAGGTCACAAATGCATCCCGACGACTTTTGCGGCTTGATTGTAATGTTTGTTCACAGTTGAAGAAACAATCATTATTATTATTATTATTATTATTATTATTATTATTATTATTATTATTATATTTATCAGCCTTTATAAGAGCTCTCTTAAGGCTGATTAACGCGCGTCATGATTTCAAATTTTCTATTTCATATAAGAAGAAATTGCGATTAAGTCAAGTGTACAAGCGTATCTTCAAAAACATAGTGCACTACTACCCGATCGGGATGATGTTATACAGAATCAGAGCCCCTTCAAGATGTCAGAAGTATTTTTTATGCTTCCTGATGTGACAGGAGGGTACAGAAAACTACAGTTCTATACTGCATTTTGTGCATCGAAATGTCAGGGTAAGGCTGTAGAACAGAGAATGCCTAAGTGAGGGTTGTGAAAACAACACCGTGGATGGACAGAAGTGCTTTTTGAAAAGAGCGAGTGGTATGAAAACCTACAGGATTAAATTGCTTTTTATGTATCGATGTACCTATTAACTTTGGATTGAAAAACAAGTAGTCTTATATTTGGATTTCTATGTATTCGTATTACTTTAGAAAAACAGCAAATGTTGGACGAAATACGAGTGCAACTGTAGACAATTTTTTTCGGTTCCAATCGCAAAATTGCACTACAAATGAGCTCCGCGTTTGTATTTCCTCTATAATAATTTTCTTTGCTATCCAAACAGGTTGATGGACACAGAATCAGGGAACCCTTCAAGATGTCAGAAGTATTTTTTATACTTCTTGATGTGACAGGAGGGTACAGAAAACTACAGTTCTATACTGCTTTTTGTGCATCGAAATGTCAGAGTAAGGCTGTAGAACAGATAATGTTGACATGAGACATAAAAAACAACGCCGTGGTTGCGCAGAAGCTTTTCTTGAAAAGAGCGAATGCTACAAAAGCAACCGAATTATGTTGCTTTATCGGCTTTGGAATATTAAAAAAATCTCCACTAGTATTTTATATTAATTTTTATGCATTTGAAATATATATTAGAATTACATGAAATCTAATATTGGTCCAATTACATGAGTAACTACAGTCTCAAAGCCTCAGTTCAATTCGTAAACTTCCACTTTAATATTTGTGTCTATAATAGTTTTTCTGAGGGTGCAATAAGGAACAAGGAGGTTTATAAATGTTCTATTAAAAAAGTTCCATTTCATTGCTCTCTTACATCGTTTGTTATATGTTCCGTTACAATATTGTTGTCAATAAAGATATGATACGTTAGGTTAAGAGACGTGTTACATTTATCCAACTGTTTCTTTCAAATTACAACGTTAACGTGGTCCTGTAAATGGAGTTATAGTTTTCTTTGTTTGGAAGGATTTGTCGTTCTTTTTGCTGTGCAACGAAGAAGTTAATTTCCTCTGTAACTGAAATATGTTTGACTTTTGTGTTTGTGTTGCTGTTATTACGGTCAGAATTGAATGTAATTTTTAAAACACACTTCAGGAATCTTGAAAATAAGCAGTCGACTAAAATATTTGTACAAAAAGTATAGGCTGCCACAACCCTTTTGTATTTTCTCTAAATTGAAATTATTTTCTAAATTAGAAGCAAAACACTTTGCAATTCCAAAAATAATTTTTATGTAGTTTGAATTTATAAAATGAAAAACGCTAAAATTCAAGAAGTGGAGAACACGCAGTGTAGTGCAACCTACGAAAAAGTAATGCATCTTACGCAATTATGCAATATATACAATATCTGTTTATATTTTTGGATTTTTTCCAACTGTACAAGGATGTCTCATTTTCAAGAAAAATAAATCAATATTTACAACTCGATAATATCGATTTAATTGCAATTGATTGGATCACAACTATAGTCAATTTTTTTAAAAACTTTATTGTTATTCAAATAATACCATTTGTAACCATTACTTTTTCTCTTACTTTCAAGGAATCAAATTCCTCCCATATAAACAAATGAAGTCTTTCAAACGATGGCGTAATATTGCAAGTAGACAGTAAAAAATGAGATCGATTCTACAGAGCCCCTACCATGTGTACAGTAGCAACCGTCTATCTCAAGAAAACTGTAGCTTGTTTCATTGTAGGTCTTGATTCGAGTCTGTGTCGTGTAGAGTGCTTGTGATGTACTCAAAGCATTCTAAATTGCTCTTGGTTGTGTAAAAAATATACTGTATAAATGCTCTTTCAGGAATATTCGGACAAAATTTTTCGTCGAATAAAAAGTTCGTCCAATTTTTCTGTCAAGCACACAATTAAGTTACATTACTGCATAGTATTTTCGTCCAATAGTGAATTTCAAATCAAGAATATCGGACACATTTTAAGACATTACAGTGGAAGTAAAGAAAACAAACAATTGTAGCAATACTTGAGAGCAGTTTCATATCACTTAAAAATGTGTTCATGCAGTAAGATATAGTTTTGTTAACCCAACAGCAACGTGAATTTTAAATTTATATTTGTTTACGAAAGAACATTTAACTTCCATTCCATTGATGTATTTTTCTTTAATGGGAAATCAGGTTTACGTTTTGCTTGTAGTCAAAACTAATTTTTTCCCCTAGATTAAAAGTACAAGCATCCCGTCACGATCAGTAATGAAAGTGAGTTAGCCTGTACTGACAGTTGTTTTCTTTGTTACTGACTTTGAATTAAAGTGATTGTTAAGTACGATGTTACAATGTAAACATTGTAAAACGTTTTATTCAGTTTGTAAAAATTTCATTGTACTGTAATTTTCGATTACATTTGATCATTTATTGAACGAAATGTCTAGTATATTTGAACTTATTAATCAAAACGACAGGTCAAGTAGAGTGAGTAGCAAGCTTCTAAGAGAGCAACCAAGTAAGGAAGTACTATCACCAGTAGTGGAATGTCGCCCATGGCTCGCGCCTGCAACGTCCACCCTCGGTTTCTCACTCCCACCTTCGAACCCGGCCTCAATTCCAGAATATTTGGTGGCGGTACGTCTCTGATCTAGCCTTGTGGCTCATCTGATTGGCCACTCTTAAGAATGCCATCGGACCACAGCGTCGAGTCTCACAAAGTATGATTATCTTCCAGGCTGCGTTCGTGTCCATCACATCAGCATCGCTTGTTACTCTCAATTCAAGTCCTGTCCTGTGTTCTCGTCTGAGGTAGATATCCGTCTCAAAATTAATTTGTCACAGTGACAGAAAAGTTTTTCCTCCGTCATCACAATTGTTTTTCATAACCTTCAATCATGGAGCCTTTCTACGTGTAACTAATCATTTCCAGTCGACACTTTCCTGTTTGTTTAGCAAATTTAGCCGCTTTTTTCTGCACTCGGTTTAACGCTTGGATACGACCTTCTCTGCAAGGATCCCAGCAACCTACTCCGCATTCCAACGGGACGAACCAAAGATATGTAGGCCAGCATTTTCGCATTAGAGTTAGCTTTCCGTAATATACGCATGACAATATGAAGAGCTTTCCTAGCTAGTGTACTACTCGTATATCTTACGTACTTAGTCCAGCTGAGGTCACTTAGAATTATTACGCCCAGATATTTTCAACTAAGTGCCTCGGGGATTTTATTTCTACCTATTATATAGTTAAGTGTTTCCTGTGTTCAGAAGATGTTCACATTTTGCAAGTGAACATGTGCGAAATCCCACCAGCACATTCTTGTGAAAGGATTTCGTGTGCCCAACGACCAAACACCAATGCAAGAAGAGTTGCCTACTAAAGAGTTGCCTAAAAAACGTCACAACGATTCACTTTTATAACTTCCAGATTTGTCACCTCGTGGTCTTTAGCAAAAGTAATCATCTTGAACACACTACATACATATTTGAAAATTTATTCTGAGATATTATAAACATTAAGTTTGCTCTAAGCTAATATGGTATGGAAAAAATTAAGATTACAATAATTTAATGAGCTCTACTGCTGGTTCGTAAGTATTATTGAGCTTTCTAAAATGACTGGAGGATTGAGCAAGATATATTGTATATTGTATTGTGGCACATTTCTACTTTATATTGTATTGTACATTTGTATATTTTACTATTCCCACAATAGACGACTAGCACTCGATCATTTTACTTCAAACAGCGTCCTATGGTTAATACCAACAACGGGTTGAAGTTCGAAATGATCCGTTCATTGTCATTCATTCAGCTTGTTAATGCGCACATTAACCGGCACCTAACAATATTTGGGGTAATACCATTCAACATAAGTGTGAAATCATCCTCCTCTGGTTGTCAGAAGTATTATTGTACTTCTTGAAAATGGTGGAGGGTACAGAAAACCTACAGTATTGAACTGCGTTTTGAAAATCAAAATGTCAGCATTGGGCTGTAGAACATCTTCCACAAAACCAGCCATTGCCATGTACTCTTTTTATACCTTATTAACAATCACAATAAACAAGAAGTTGGAAAGCAACTTTAATTTTGCAATTAAAATAAAACGGAAGCCCAAGTTGCTAGTAAAATCTTGTTTTTCTCTGCTTCTTCATGTTTTGGTGATAGAATCGTTTTGTCCTAGAGACCGTCTAGAACTCCTCCTCCTTTCACGCACCACAGTAAAGGAAGTCTCTTATCAGTTACGAAGATGTAGTGCAACTGCATTTCATGCGCTCTGGTCCCAGAAGTTTATGCTCAAGGGGTACAGATAATTGGTGGACGCAACCATGCAGTGACTCCCGAGTGCACTGTGACGTAGTGGGAATCTCCCTACACATCACAGACAAGAGCTTACCTAATAATGAATTAAAATATCTATATATCTGATAGTCTCCTAATTGCATGAGCGAACTATCTGCAATTAATTGCTTATCTCATGGCCCTCACCACAAATCGAAGACCTACGCACACAGTGTATCACCACGTGACCACTGTCACAAGTGGATTTTTGATATTCCACTACAACTTTCTGACACACCGGTTGCCCCATGAGCATCGTTCGTCAACCCACTAGCCTGTCCTAAGATATGGTCTGTTTTAAATGGGATGGACTGAGACCACTGGTCAAACTCAACCAATGATTCTATTCAGCTACATGGGGACAATTTGGAGACATTCATGGGCTTAGATGGGCGACTATTGTTCGCGAATGAAGAACATTCGAGCGAATAATTTGGCTACCTACATAGCCCAACATGAATATTTTCGCACATTTATGAGATATAATCGAGAGGGCCAGTTCGTACACAAAATCCTGCATCCGCCACACATCCGCACTGACCATAGAGACAGCGTGGCTCAATATTTTTGTAGGGGACTTCAAAGACTTGTTGAGTCCATGCCACGTCGTCCCTGCCCTTCGCCGGTAAAAGGAGGTCCAACACGATATTAGGAAGTGTTCCTCGAACGAAAGAGTGAACACATGTGAATTAGTTGGTTTATTTCTGCTCGCGCATTTTTGCTAGGACGTCCGGGTGACGTCCGGGCAACAGAAAATACGTAGCACACAACTTTTGTGGTTAACATTTGTCATTTTATATTGTCATCAATTGAATTTAAATCGAACTCCCTTATGCTAAAAACAGCATCTCAATGCCATTTTATAAAAAATGTATATACAGCATTCTTCTCGCAGTTGTTTCAGTTCTAAATATAGTCAGAACAACCATATTGGGAGACCTCAGAACAGCGACCTGAAACAAATAATTAAATCCTGTAAATCATTTCACCTTATGAGTAACAACGCAATAAAAATCAGTTATATGGTTTAGAAACCTAGGTACTTAAAATTGACAACATTAACATTTTACTGTCCATTTCGATTAATAAAATTTATAAAATGTCACAGAAAATCTTTTACAGTTTCATACTATTTGCGTGCCACTTACTGCGGTTTTCGGATAAAAATGTGAAAAAAAATCTCCGGAGTCCTTACTACCAAAAGAATGTTTCTGGCAATGACCGAATATTTTACGGATAATCCGAACATTTCTGAATCGGAACAGACCACGCCCCCACTTAGTTCGGAAAACCGAGATTCTACTGTAATAAGGAGTATAATAATATGCCAAGGGGCGGTCAGATGGCTGAAACCGTTCAGGCTGTAGTGCCATAGCGGTCTCGGACCAGAAGGTCGCGGTTTCGAGTCCCACCTCTAGCATGGGTGTATTTGTATAAGTGTGTCGTCATTCCGCATTATCATTTCATCTTTCATACTCCCAGGGCTAACAACCCTGCGGCGTAAAAATGGATACAGAAGAAATTCTGACCCCCCACCAATAATGCATCGTGCATACCCCCAGAATAAAATATAACTGAGCCTTGTTGGGTATAACTGCACGTTCACAAGGTCTACAGAAAAGCCAATTCGCGACGGAAAAAACGATACGCCAAGGGGTATACCTAGGGCGCGTCTTGGGCGTCGAGGCGGCGCCGCAGCTGGCCGGCGAAGTCGACGAGGCCGCCGGCGAAGTAGCGCTCGACGACGGAGTGCGGCAGCCAGCCGCCCAGGCGCGCGCAGCACAGGAAGCGCAGCCGGCAGCGCGGCCCTGCGCCCGCCTCGGCCGGTGCGGGAGGCGCGTCCGCGATGCCGTACGCGCTCAGCAGCGTCTCCCCCCTGCGCACACGCCACCGCGAAGTAGCCAAACTGCGCAGCCCTCACTGAAGTTTACTATATGGCTCCGAATTTTCGGTTTTCGAAGCTTTCATCTTGTGCACGGTGAAGCGGGGTGAGTGGCGGCAGAGGGGGAGGCGCAGAGTAAGGCACGGCGTTTTTATGGTCAAAGACTGAGATTAACGAGGAACGAGTCGCGGTGGGACGGTTAGAGGCGGCATAGTGCGGGGAAAGGCGGGCGAGTGAGACGGAGCGAGTAAGGTACATAGAACGGAGGAGCATGAAGGGATGAGACAAGACGAGATGAAACGAGACGAAACGTGATGAAACGAGATGAAACGGGACGAAAGGGACGGGATGGGCAGAGCGATCAGGGGGGGGGGCAGGCCGGAATGGAGCGACGAATTGCTTGGTTGTGAAGTGCGTGTTAGGGTGTGAGTGTATGTGTAAGAGGTGGGGATAGAACAAGGAGGAGGAAGGTGAGATCGCTCGCGAGCCGTGGCTCGTTTGATAGGGTACTGCTCCATCATTCCCCTGGTGTTGATCGGGAAAACCAGGTAAAACAACCGATAAGAGCAGCCGGCCGCTAGAATTCTCCTCCTGTCAGCGTCCTCCTGTCCTGCGATTGGAGAGCGGCGAAGGACGGGGATAGCGGAGCGGGCCGGAATGAGGCGGGGCAGCACGGTGTGGAATGTGCCCGACGGGGCGGGGCGGGGGAGTGGGGAGTGGGGAGTGGAGAGTGGAGAGTGGAGAGTGGAGAGTGGAGAGTGGAGAGTGGAGAGTGGAGAGTGGAGAGTGGGGAGTGGGGAGTGGGGAGCAGGCTGGGCGAGCGTACCAACGGGTAGGACAAAGCTGCTAAGCCAGTCGATTGAGGGAGGCAAACGCCGCTCACCTGACCATGCCGCCTTTGCCGGCCGGGAAGTCGGGATGCGTGACGGCGACGCCGCAGGACACCGTCTCGGGGACGCCCTTCTCGTCGACGCCGTCGCACCAGTGGCGCACCGACAGCCAGTCGCGCGCCGACACCAGCCCGCCCAGGCGCGCACTCGTCGCCACCCGCGTCACGTCCATGTCGTCGCCCAGCATCTGCAAGCGACCCACGCGTTATAAACACCTGTGCAGGGTGTGGGCAAGCTAATGAAAGCGGATGCAAAAGGTTTCCTTAATTTTCTTTTCCATGAATGTAGCAAAGAACAGTAACCAGGGTAGTGCCGATTTGCTCAAGAGGCCTCATTAGGCTTGAGGGTCTTTTACATGCAGTAAATCTACAACATGTAACAGACACCTTCACTTCCCCTCCGAAGGATGGCGTACGATGGAAGTTTTTCGCCCTTCAAAATCCACGGCTTCGGTGCGCTTTGAACCCCCGAACTGGGATATAACAGTCCGATACGCTATTACACCACTGATACCTTTCGGTGGTATATTCTATGCAAACATTCTGTGTTTTCGAAAATGCAAAAATAAAATCGAAATTGTAAATTAGAATTTCCCGCGTTTCGTTCGACGCGCTGTTAGTTCGCAAAATGCGAAAAGGCGGTTTCAAATTCGGGTTCTTCAAATTTTCCTCATAGTCGTGATGATCGTATGATGAAGATAACGTTCTTATGAAAGGAAATATATTTAACTCAGAACTAACAATATTTAACTCAGAACTAACAAACTTCTTACTGATATCTCGTGTGGCTCATGAACATGTAGTTTTCCATGGTTCGATTCCCGGCCGGGGCAAAAAAAAGGCTACAGGTTTTTAATACAATCTTTTAATAAGTCTCTAATAGTCCAATTAACACAAAACCGATATCAAAAATATCCACACCATAATGTTCATTCCCTAAAGCCGTGAACGTAATGTCCCCAACAAAAATGTCCACGCCATAATGTCCACAGCAACAATGTCCATAAGAAAATCGACTGAATATTGTCTAAAATAAGAGTAATGAAAGGTTCTGTTCGAAATGCATTGTCTTCAACAATAACATTCATATTTCATTCTTAGCATTCTTGTTAACAATAGAAACGTGTTGCTGTTCAAATTAAAATCAATTTTTAAGGTAATTCGTCATGGCATCTTACATTTTTTCGCAGAAGAAGAAGATAATTCTGCGAGTAATGGATTTACATACCACTTCCATTCCAGAAGTAGAAATGGAAATGAAAGGTATTGGAGGTGTTCCGAAACAGGAATCTGCAAAACCCGGTGTGTATCAAATAGCGATCATAGAGAAGGATGGTTACGGAGCACATACATGAGTCAAGAACAACAGTACAAGGGTATCAATAATGTCAAACAATATCTACGTGCCCTTTCATGCCATATGAAACTGCGTGCTGATCCTGTGGTAGAAGAAAATTGAACTTCAATTAATGATTTTCACAGGTAATACTTTAAAAAGTCAATATAGGCATAAAATAACCTAATAAATTGGACGAATCAGTATTGGGCCGATAACAAAGCGGATATTTATACTAATAGATATTTTTGCAGTGAACGCTTACTTGTGGACCACGTGACTGCTAACCGATTAACTGCACTTCGACATATTGATTCTTTCTTCAGATATATACAAAATGGTTTCAAAGCACTTTTTCACTTAACATAAATCGGGATTTATTAACGACAATAAGATAGAATACATATATTTTTCCAAAATTTACAAGTATTAACACAATAAGAAAAATATTTTAAAGAATTCTTACCATCAGTCGTTTGCAGGAATCTTTAACATACGCGTTACTCCATTTGGGATAATCTTCCAAACCATCTATTAATATCTGTTTCAAAGTGTGCGCTGAACAATTATAAAATGCCTGCAAAAAAGAATAGCAAAGTTAAAATAGTCCAATAAAATGTACAGTTATGTATTATGAAGAGGTGATAGCTTAAGATAATCGTCAGTGACGTCACTCCATCTTGGAGAAAATGGTCCGACTAAGGACTTACTATATAGCAAAGTAATCGTATTCATATTTTTTAAAGAAGTACCCCAATGACGACATGGGAGTCTGATTTTGTACGAGATCATTTCGCCCGAGCGCCAAACTGAGTATTTAGCTGCAGCGACTCTTTCTTGAGAGGACTTTCGACACTAGCCAGATAGCTGGTTCAAATTCAGCCGCTGCCTAGAGGAGAATTTTAGCGGCCGGCTGCTCTGGCCGGTAGTTTTCCGTGGTTTCTCCGATCGACACCAGGCAAATGCCGGAGCAGTACCTTAACAAAGGGTCCATGGACCGCGTGCGAACTTTCCTTGTCCTCCTCTCACACTCTTACACGCACTACACTACCACACACACCGGCTGACCCGTCGGACGCCTACGGCTTGTCCCGGTTGGGGCGGTGACCTACTGGAGAAGATACCTGGAGGAGAAAATCCCTCGCAAGCCGACGTGCGGGTCTGTGCCGGATCTCTCAGAGCAGCGGACAGGCGCACCGCCTCCTCCCGGAATAAAACATTCATTACACTAACGGGATTAATGTCCTTAGCCGTTGGCGTTCCCGGGAACATCAACCTATTAACACAAAAGCCACTAGATGGCACTGCAGTATGATGGGTTTACACTCGTCTCGTCGTCGTGAGCGGAAATCGTTCGGCCGAGAAAACTGAGCATCTGACGCTCGGTACTAGTGACTCCGCCAGTTGAGTCTAGATTTCAAATGTAACTAGTGGTGCATTTACAAACAGCACGAACATTCTCGCCCTTACTTTCTCGAAAATTCCGCGAAAAGTACTCAAAAGTTTCAAAACATCTTATTTCAAAATCTATTTAAGGAACAGATTTCAGATTCATTTCAGGAAAAAATTTCCATCTTAATAATTGTGGTTCTAGGAAGACGCCGACAAACGCAGACGAAACAATTTTGAATTTTTGCAATTTTCTACAAATAAGTTCTCAACAAAAATTAGACCTGCACCATTCTCTTAAACACTTCTCTTTACACTATCTATGAACAAAATGTAATCAAAAACGAGGGAGCCATTTAAAAAAATGAAAATGCCCCGCGACTTTAAGTGCCTCCCCCCCCCCCAAAAAAAAAACAACAGCTACAATATCGATTTCAAATTCAAGAGGCAGAAACATCAGCAAAATAGATTAAGGAATATGAATTTTGGGGAACATCTGCTGAACGGTTTAGCCGCTAGCATTGTTCACAGACGGTCATACGGACGGACGGACAGATCTTTTGCCGTCATTCGATTTTTCGGTAGCAATGACCCATAAAACTTGGATTCTGTCTACTCCTCGTGTTAAAAGATTTGTTTCTTCTAATTATTGCAACTGGATTTATCAGTTTTTCGTTTCTAGGATCCTGTAATACGATTTTTTCCCACCGAAAATTCAGTTTTTTCGCGCAGCTTTACATAACTTTCTCTCTATTGCGTAAGCGGTAGCGGAATGTAAAACAGTCAAATAAAGGTAACGCGAAGTTGAAACGTCTATACAAGTAATAAGACCTAATCATGTTACAATACGTAGAAGAGGCAGTTTCTCTTAAGTTCACGGATGATTATATGTGATTTCCTGTTGCAAATTCAACATGTGAAAGAAACTTTGCATTCGATAAATCGTATATATAATTAATGACACTCTCTTCATTCATTATTTAGAAACGAAATGAGTGTATCCTTTATTAACGGTAATTAATTATATTTCCATACACATTCAGTTCACTTTTATGGAGTAAATATTGTATAATAAGTGGAGAGTTCCTCATGCCTATTCCTCATGTAGATCTGCCACGTTATCGCACATGATATTACCTTTTCCTTCGCCACATTGTAATCTATTTAAGAACGGTGACAGATTCAATACGAGTTAAGTGGTTCAAGTGGAGACATGCTGCGTGTACGAGTGGAGCACAGAGGCGGATAATTAGGAAGCGTTACCTGCTAGAATTCAAAGAATAACGACTCCCTTCTATCCCAATCTATGACAAAATACAATTATGTCTAAACATCATCGACAAGAGATTCCGTTTGATACGGAAGAGTGCAAAATAAACTAGAGGGGTCACGATACCACATACTTTCTCACATTACTGTAACTCTTACGTATATTGAAATATTGCAATTTCTGTCCTACTACATCCGCTATTACTTAAAACGTCCAAATCAAACGATGTAATCGTGGTGCATAGTTTTTTTTCTAGAGAGAAAAAAAATAATGAAAAAAACAACAATGTAATACAATGTAAAATATTCAAAGAAAGAAAAGTTCAAGAATTGAAGTTTTCTCAAGAAGAGAAGCACCGGGCTCGCCAAGAATGATCTACAATGTCACCACAGCCAACTGCAAGACATTAAAAATACGCAATGTCATCTTTAAGTACTGCAACCTCATTGTGGTGGTGCAAAATGGAGTAGAAATACAATGTCCATGCTCTTGTGGAACAGCTCAACAGCTGCACCACAGATTGAAGTGGTGGCATAAGAAACGCAATTTTTAAAGAGCTGCTAATTACTGCAATCTAGAGGCACGCGTTACATGTATTGGTTATTTTACAATTTATGTAAGAGCCTTTTACTCATTCGTTTTATGAGGTTTTCTTTTTGAAAGATAATGATATGGGAAAGAAATATTTCTTAACAAGAGTCTCCATAGTTCAGGATGAACGTAGTGAACTGACTGATATTGAATCAAGAACACAGATAATTTCACGATAAGGGTATGGATCCATCTCGATCAGGTTTTCGTCCAGTTACCCTGACCTTCGAGCAAATGCTGAGAATGTTTGCTTTTGTTTTGCTTCTTGTGCCCCTTGTTTTGCTTCTGGACATAAATGTAACTTAAAATTAACTTCTCCCCAGAGCACGTCACACACAGTCTTTAACTGTTTTTGAAGTAAAAAAATAAAGTATATATTGAATCAATTCAATATCAGTTCACGCTATTTTTAAACATTGCATTAATTTGGGTAAAGATGCTAAAATTCAAAATGTTCAACAACATAACCTCCCCCATGTGGTGAACAAGTTTCCTGAGCATGAGCAATACATATAGTAAAGTAATTAAATTGTGTAAATAGCATATAAAGTATTCCACGCTCTTTAATAAGCGCCTGTCTCTCTTATAAGCGTGACGTGTGTGTGGGGGGGGGGATGGGTGTGGGTAGGTGGATGGGTGGATGTGTTTGCGCACGCGCGTTGAGGGGTGTTGTCCGTTAATGTTATAAATATTAGCAACAAGTCAAGACATACACAGTTTATATTGAAAATATATGAACATTTTATAAAAATGCATCTGCTCCTCTAAAAGTAATGGGTTCACTCTGCATAATGTACATGAAGTTGACAAAAAAAAATCTCAGCCTAAAGTACACGACTGTACTATATATCTGATTCAAGTTGGTCTGGGCGGCATATGGACAGTATCGTATGCGGAACGACAAACAGCGGTCGTGTGACGTTTGGCGTAAGATAGTGTTAATATACGACGCGCGTTACTTAACGCGCTTCAACGTAACGCTCGTGTGACTGAGGTCTAAGCATGCTCTTCTTGTGAAAAACGACGCATGGGCAGTTTTCTGTCACACCAAAACTCAAATAATCGTAATGTGCTGACATTGCAGAGATTGTATCAAATTGCTAATAAATGCCCATTAGCGCCAATTGAAAAAAACTCCAATTGATAATAAATTTAAAATAAATCCTTTGTTGGTCCTGGTACAGTTTTATTGCGGCGTGCATAGGTGTAGGTACATGTATCTGGCCATAATTAGAGATTAGACATCGATGTCGATGTTTTCAAACGCTTGATTGTTTTAGAAAATCAATGCATTTAACATCGATTATTGTTTTGAATTTTCTTATGTGGTCGATATTTCTTATGAAAAAGAAGTCTATCACTACAAAATTCTTTAATACTTTTCAGATATCCATAAATTGGAAATTCTTTTCCATTTATTCTAATTTACCCAGGGTGAAAAATAAACAAAAAATTTTAAAAAAGAGTTTTCGTGAATTAAGAAGCCTATAGTATTACTTTTTTATTATTCACTCAAAAATCCATCTGATACATCTCAATTAAATTTAATAAACAAAACCACACTTTCAAACCAAACCCCTCCCCTCTCCTCAGAAATATCGATGTTCTTTTGGCGATGTCGCTTCCCTACCAACAACGGGAAGGTTTGATTTTTGCGTCGTGATACTGACCGTGATCATAAGCACTCGTCCGACGCCCGGCACGGCGCACGAGTGCACTTGGTCGCCATCTGGCGTCCGCGACTCGAAGCGCCACGGCCCAGAGTGCAGCACCTTCCGCGCCAACTCCAGCGCTTCCTGGCCGCGACGCCGGAAGCTAGCCACCTGTGCACATATCAGAGCGGGTAATTCAAATGGTGCTTGAAACGAAAACATGGCGCTTCGCATATAAAAAATTAAACTTGAAAATAACGTATAAAGTGTTGCATTTTTTCTTTTGGCTAATATACTAATTCTTTGAATGAGAAACATTTTTACTAACTTAAATCATTTTTTATTTCGCTCCAATTGTAAATGTCCATCTATAACAAATAATTTTATTGTAGATTTAATGGGGTCTAGTCATACTTGAATATGAAGAGAAATTATCCAAGTAGATCTCAGAAATGAAAACTAGGCGAGAAATCGAGACAGAAAAATGAGGAAATCATTAAAGAATTGTCCAAATTAATTTCGTTTTTTCCACCTGCATTACCTTCAACCTCGCAAAATGTTCCTGATAGTGAGCAGGACAAGTCAGAGGAGGAAACAATTGAAGAAATCTCGGATCAAGCGATTATTATCAAAAATGATAATAATTCAATAATTCAAAATTTGCTGATAAAAATAATGGAATTAACGATTCTGAAAAGTGTACTGTGTTTAACGCAAATGACACCAACTAGTGGATTAAGACCGCAAAATTGTCAACATCATTCAAGACCATTTGAAAACTAACGCAGGACATTTCAAGATGGGAAACAAGATTTTGCTCTCAAAATCCATTTCATAATAAAAAAGGAAATTGTGAAAATTATACTTAATTTCCATTATGGAGATGGCAACACTTGTTGCTATGTCTGAGTTAAACAAAAGAATTGTACGGCAGATTTCATTTCCACTTTTATTACCGTATTTATAAAAATAAATTTGCAAAAAAACCTACGAATAGTATTGCTGGGGAACGTATTAAAGTTGATGAACGTCAAGTGAATACGGAGAAAATATGGGCTCGATCGAAGTGAAGATGATCTCGTAGGATGCACGAAACTCGGCATCACTCTCCCAGACACAGCCTCACATGCACGGCCGAGAGCCTTAGCAAAATCTAGTGGCGCTCCAACTGTTCATTCAGATAATTGTAAAACGTTAACAATTCAAAACCACAAATTTGATAATAAACATTTCTGCCTGAAACATTTTTTCTAAAATTTCAGCTCTTTAAAAAATGTCTGTACAATTTCTTTCTTTAAAAAGACGAGTAGTTTACGCGAAATCTGTGCTTGAAATCAACGCAAATTATATTTTTTTAAATTCTCAAAAACCGTTCCAAGTTATTTTTTTAAAATTTTTCCTACAAATAGAACAAGGAGCACTTACGTGTGTACGGAACAATTTTGAAGTAAAAATACCTTTTGGCATTTTATTTTGCATAAATCTCCATACGCGCGTCGTATATTAACAATATCTTATGCGAAACGTCGCATGAGTGCTGTTAGCAGTTCCCCATAAGATACTTTCCATAAACCACCCAGACCTTAACGGGAATAACTTAAATAAAATATTTAGTACTGTAGTGTACTTTAGGCTTAAAAATGATTTTTTTTCTACTAAATTCCTGTATAATAATGCAGAGCGCACCCAGTATTTTATGGGCGAAGATAGTGTCCAGCCAATATTTTTTATAACATCTTCATATATTTTCAATATGAAATGTATATTTGTTGACTTGTTGCTAATATTTATACCGTTAACTGTTGATATATTGAATTAATTTCGTTAGTATAGAAAATTAGTGAAAGCTATATTTTTGGATGTGTCATTGGCTTCTGGGGTGAGAGAGAGCTGAAGTCTTGAGGCCAGATGTAAATTGCGGACCAAACAATCCTTATTTTCTCACGAAACTTGCTTTATAATTCTACAGGTAAATTGCGGACCAGATTTCTAAAATAAGATACTTATGACGCATGTTTTATTTACAACGATTTTTCATGAATAGTACGTGATTGAGAATTACTGGAACAATCACACATTTAAGTCGATTTATCTGAGGCAAATTAAAATTTTGGAAAACTTGTTTCACAGGCAGCAAAAATGCGATAAATCTTCGAAAGGCCATCAAAATGTAAAAGGAAATCCCTCCTTGGAACTTCTTTAGTTCAAACAATTGTCACCCGCAGAAAAGCTTCAAACGGGGCACTGTAAACACCACTGGCATTCGGGTCTCATTATCATTACATAACATCGCGCCACGTGAGACGGTATCTACGCCAACACGACGAAAGGCTCTTCGCAATGTTCACGTGCTCCGTGTAAGCGCACTTACCAGAGCAGAATCGGTCGTCGCCGCTTCCTCTGCCATCGCGTGTCGCTCACGTTGTCTAACCGAAGCCTCTCAAGGCCGGCTCTTCCCCTACTGGCGAGGCGACTTGAAGCGACCGGCACAGATAAGCGTGTCGTCGCGCCGCCTAGCAGTTATTCCCTGCGTCTGTGTGGGATTCGGCAACGGCCTCGCACACTGAGGACGCCCATCAAAGCGTTTGCCCAATCGCGGTTGAGCCGACTCCGGGTCTAAACAACATGCGAAGGCGCGCCATGCAAAATCTCGGAGTTACGCGAGCGTTATCGTATTCTTCAGAGCGTTCTTATCGTTCACGATCAACCATCGCCCTTTCGTCTATTTCAACATTTCTTTTGTGTGAAATAATAAGTTACGGATCATTTGAAAAAGTACATACGCTAAAAGTTAGTAGCCCCTACCAACAAATACCAGAGGCGGCTCGGGCACAACCCACTCATAAAGTCAAAACGTTCTTATGATTTAAGCACATACATTTTCCATTTAATAACATTTAAAATCCAAGATCGATGCAATATCGATGTATACGATCTCATTTTGAAATCAAAAAGCGCCTTTACAACGCTCCCAAGAACGTGGCGTCCGACAAGAAGACCTAATTTCTCTCTTCGTCTGAAAGAAGGTGCAATGTAACTTTATGGATCAATTCGAGTTTTTTCATAGTAGTACCAATTTTTACGCCACACATATATTTTTTTCATGTGAATTACATTTTATGTATTAAAATGTTGGGGTTCTTAGAAACGCTATGAATACTAGCAGCGGCGCACCCACAGGAAGGAGACGCTCATGGGGCTTCACATCCCTCCTTTCCCGAAACCGAGGCAAGGTCAGCTTTTACTCATGTACGGATGCTTTTGAGTTAAATGTTATAGGCTAACTTGCGTAATTATAAATAGAAAATATACTTAACAATTACAGTTTTAGTTTGTTGGCTAACTCCAATCTAAATCACAAATTTTCCATACAATTATTGTACAAAATAAATTGATATTTTATACGAATAGAATTGATAAAACTAAGTAAATTACTGCGATTTCTATTTTTTTATCTTGTACGTTAATTTTTTGATATGGACAATAACAAAATAAGATGAAAGTGAAGACGAAATGCGTCCAATCACTTGAAAACGTAAAAAAAAATTTTTAATTATTATCAAAATTACCTCAATTTCAGCATAAATGCAAAAAATTGTATACGAAAAAATAGTGGGCTAATCCTTAGTCTCTAACATTTAAAAAATCCTTATTGCGCCACTGCATATGAGACTTTTTGCGAGTATACCTTCAGCACAAATTAGCTATATATGTAACAATTCCTCTAAATTAGTCCTTAAAGACTAATGGTTACGTGTTATATGCAAGGTTTTTGTTATTTCTAGTTATTCAAAAATAATTTAACACTTTCCTGAGTTAAGAATTGTCATTGCTCTCGATGTTCTGTAGCAAGGGTGCAGGGTTTTGGTACTATTTTTAAATAAAATTGCACTGTGCGGAAGGACCAAACGGACAATGTGGAACAAGCGGGACAAGACAGGGAAAGGACGAAGAGGGCAAAGGGATAACATGGGGAAAGGGGGGCAAATGGGACAATAAGAGCCAATGGACAAACGAAAAAGAGGGCGAAAGGGACAAGGGAAACAAAAAGGACATTTATCCAAATATTTATGAGCACTGGCAAAATCTAAACCCGGGAGTCCGCTAAAACATGTTAATGGACTATCGAGCGTTTTGACGACAGTTGCAATGGATGCGTTGGTGGCTCTCAATGCATTGTTTAGATGGCTGGTTGCTGAGGGGCTAAGCAGTTGGTGCCAGAAAAGGCGAGTTCCCATCAGTGGCGGGGATTTACTTCGACAGCTTACGTTTCCAAAACTATTTTCCATTCCATTTAGTGCGAATATGTGCTTGGCTTTGTTCTGCTAGGTGTGTGGTATATTTACTGTTGACGCGGAGTATAATGTTACAAGTGTCGAAGTTTACTTTTTGTTGAAAATGAATCCTGGAAATAATGTAGAGAATATTTTGATCTCTGACAGACTAAATCGTATTTTCGTAAAAAAAAAGTTGGAAATTAAAAGTTAAGGACCAGGAAACCCTAGTTTAAATACAAGAGAGACCCAAATTTTTAATAAACTGATCGGCACTTTTGCATAAGGGAACGAGAAAATAGCAGACCTCGTTTATAAAGTTTACAAAGGTTCTTACCCGTAAACAAAGGCAACGGGTAACAATCTTTTTTCGTAAAAAAACTATTTTAGTTCACAAAACGTTCAATTTTGTCATTACAGTAAATGTTGCCACTATGTGTTCAAGCAAGGCAATTTTAAATTCGAGTTAAAATGTAATTCACATATCAGTACTTTGACTTGGATATTGAAGATATTGTGGCAAACATTACGTTTCCAAAAGAAGCAACAAGGTAAAAGAGATTGTTCACGCTCGAAGACAATTGTTTTTCTTCCGTAACACTAGATCAAAGAACGTTTCTCACAGCGTTTGTTCAAGGCCAATTGATAAAGATAAAAACTTTATTGAGAAATAAGAAAAAGCTTCGTTAACAAACGAAAATCCAATTTTAGGTCGTGTAACAAGAAGAGGACGAGAATTTGGGATTCAACATGTACCAATAGGACTCAAATCTAGGATATATTTCTTCCTTCATAAACTCATACACCTAAATACATTTTTTGTAAACTTGCTTAAAATATGTAAAAGAGTAATTCGTAAAAAAGTTACCATCGCAAACGGGCTTTAGCTAAATACTTTCTCCATCAATTCCTTTGATCATACGTTCATAATTTGCTGCCTGCACAAGTCTGTGACCTAACATTCAGCGCAAGCTCCCTCGTGAGATTTCAACGTCCCGCCCAAAGGCGTACTTGTGCGCCCAAGGGGGTGGGTTTAATTGATTGTTTAGTGATTCCGGGAATGTCAACTACCAGGGCCGTTAGTCCCGTAAGTGTAATGCATGTGTTTGCTTGGGAGGTGGCGATGATCTTTCCCCCGCTGAATGGCAAGATCCGGCGCCGACCTACCGTCGACTAGCAGGGTTTTCCCCAACCAGGAACCTTCCGCCAGCGGGGTACCGTCCCGGCCGGGACAAGCTCTTGGCTCCTGACGGATCTCCCGGCATGTGTGGTAGTGTAGTGTGTGTAAGTGTATTTGTAAGGGGTGAGAAAACCGCAAGAAAGGTGAGATCTCGCGCGGTCCCTGGCCCGTTTGTTAGAATACTGCTCCGGCATTCGCCTGGTGTTGATCGGAGAAACCACGGATAACTATCCATCAGAGCCGCAGGCCGCTAGAATTCTCCTCCAGACAGCGACTGAATTCGACCTTGCTTACAAGCTAATGTTGAAAATCCTTCCATCGTTGGGTCTCGAACCTAGGACCTGCCGATCAGAGTGCCAAGGAGAGGGGGTGTAAGGGCCACAATGCCTAGGTGCCCACTCTGGGAAGAAATCCCCCTAGTATTACAAGCAAGTGTGGGGTTGTGGTCTACGCTGAGTATATGCATTTCATGTAACTCATATAATTTGGTGGCCTTGGATGTTAGTGGCAATACACACGAAGATTATAGAACATATAATTGTCAAATGGATGTACATTTCTGATGTTCAAGATTTATGTATCAATTGTAATTCATAAGATACCAAATAAACAACTGCAACGATCACTTACCAGAAGATCTCTTCTTTTTACTGAATGGAGTGCTGAAATGCCAACAATTGACAGTTGGTTGTTGGCATTTCTCTCTTTTTCTGTGGAGAATCATGAGTTGAAAAAGTTCATTTTATCAAAAGATACTGAAGCCCACTATTAACAACCACTTGATGAAAATGGAGCAATGAGAAAAAAGTTTCATTGAAACTAAAAGAAACAAAATATTTACAATATGCTAATAGTTTATTCAAATAAAAGGTTTTAGTCTCCTAAAAACACTTTACCATGGTCAATTTTATGTACATAAAATTACAGCGTATAAAACACCAGGAACATAAATTGCATACCCACACAAACACATATGCACAATCAGGTTCACAATATGTGATTTCTTATAGTATTTTATCTGCAACCAAGCTTGACAGACTGCAAACCATATCAAGTATCACTGAATTGATATGCAAAATGAAAAACCAATCACACATACACCTAGGAATGTTCCTTGAACAATTTTCACAGTTTACTTTATTATGGCAAATCATGTAAACTGTTGTCTGAATACACTTTGTCTGCTCTATCATAAGCTTCTTTCGCAACTTCAAGGAACTGAGGCAGCAACTCCAGGGCTCTTGCAACTTCTTCTGGGGTACCACACACCTTAAAAATGAGAACGTGAAAAAAATTCTGTATCAATGGGAATGGAATTTTATCAATGTGAATAGAATTTAGCTTAAACTTTCATAAAAATAATATTTTTAACATTTAATTATCGTCTATTTTATACTACCATCTGCGCAAACCACATTAAGTTTCAAAAAACACATAAAATTAAAAACACAAAACATTATTCCAACATTAAGAATGAGTGGCGTAGCATGACTATTGCCTTTGGGGATGCAACAATATTTGGGGATGCTGAACAATATCGCAAAGACAAGGTTGGTACAAACGGTGCACCGCACCAGGGTCACAGAGTAAGGTCTTTCCAACTCTCAATAAAGGGTTCATGTTGAAAAGATTTTTAAAATGTTCCAGGGAAAAAAAACCATAACACATCACACGTCAATCAAATATTTAATTAATTCCGAATGACTACTGCACGTGCACAAGAGAAAACTAAATACGATAAACAAATCATCTGGCATCGTCTGTATGTTTATGTAGCAGATGTGACTATGCAATCACTATCGTCTCACTTCGTAGTAAACTGTGCGATTAGACCGACGCCTACCGCCCAACCAGGGCAAGTATTTGGAAAATAATTCTCAGAACTTTCGTTGGCTATGAGACGTAAAAAAAAGCAACAGTACAGAAATATGTTTGTTTTGCACTTGATAAAGTACAATTGCCCATTCGATATCCCGTAAATTACTGATAAAGATCGAACTCGTTTACAGAATAGGATCTCTGAGATGGGAGTCTTAATGGCCAAAATCTAATCAAAATAGAGAAGAATACATTCGCTTGTTAGAAGGCTAAATCCAATTTATACTAGTATACTTCTAACTAATGTAGATTCAAACCTCCAGTTTCTGATTATCACTTAAATGCCCCATTTGGACCTTCTGCGCCAGAGTCTCCGAGATCCTAGCTGCACCCTTCCAAAGATTCCCAATATGCACACACAACTGAAAATGGTTTGTTTGTGGTCATCCACTAATCCAATAAAACTGATTTTCTTTTCTGAATAGTTTTCCCAAACAATGAAAGCTCAAATTTAGAGTGGGACGTTCGATCTTCAATGCTGTTCATAAGACATCTGGTGTCGATCGAAAGGAATGGAGTAAATTATCATCTGAAATACATACGTTCTTTTATCTCCATAAACAAGTCGCAATAAACTATCTGATCATTTCAACACCATTCAACGCAGGCCACTCAGGATGCACTTCAACCACTGAACTGCTCCCACGATCTCAACGGAGTAGGGTTGTACTTTCATCCACTTCTCTTTAATACCAGACTGCTGACTTCTCGTAAGCAAATCATACAATGGCTTAGCTCTAATTCTCAAGCGCGAATCTAAAATTACTCGTGAATACGTGAATTTGTTTGAAATACAGATGCGGGTCCAGAGACGAATTTTGGGAGGGAAAATTCGAAATATTTTGGTCGAAGGTGTCGTATTGCAGATTTTGTAAAATGTACTAGCTCATGTTGCCATAAGATTTTATTCGTTTTAATGGTTATTCTAAAATACTTTTGCTTGAAAGAAACAGATAATCACTTAAATTTTTCATAATAATTATTAATACTGATAACTGATGAATAATGAGTACATGTATTCTAGAAATATGCAAACTTTTCAATAATTACCTTTTGAAGAAAACCATCTTTTGTAGGTAATGCATACATTGCTACAATTGCTCCTTTTCTAACAATCCACGGATGGAATTTTGCCAGGGTTTCATTGTAGGCTTCTTGACAAACAGTTGTAGTTTTATCATTATTCTGTAACTCACCTACCCTTTGTAGGAAGAGTCTTATAAAATCTGTTGAAATTATTACAAAATGAGTGAACATTTTATGAAGTAAAGGAATAATCAAGAATGTGAGAATGTTTACTATCTACGCAATTTTACCACACACACTGAAAAACTTATTTTGGACATTCATCTACAGTAGATACTTTTTTCCTGTACCTGAATGATTTCCTATTTTATATTTCTGATATCTTTCTACAATTATGCATTTTCCAAGAAAACAAAAAGATGACCAAAGGATTTCAGAATATTAAACAATACGCATGCATCAGAACAACTCAAAACAATTTACACAATGCTTCAAGAATTAGAATAACAGGTATGAAACAGCCAGTCCAATTGGCAAGTAAATCCCAAAATATTTTGTAATATTTATACTTCATAATAAATACCGCTGGTCTCTAGATAACAGGGATTAGAAATTATTAATAATGGAATCTGAACATATAAAATAGCATTTAGATATATTCGTCTTCATTATCAACTTTCCTGAATCAAACATTGAAACAGATTTCAAAAGGAGGAGGAGTTTTCATATGAGATATTGAATCAAATCATGTCAATTTTCAAGTGATTCATTAAAATATTTTCTCAAACCTAACAATACTTTCTTTACACTTTTTATATAAATAAAGCACAATGCACTAAATTATTGGTGCAAGTGCTATTGTTTTCATTTAAACCTTTGAATTTTCAAACATATCATAAAAGTATTTATGAACTCTCTTCTCAGAGTTCAAAGAAAATCAGTGAAGGAGGGAACTTCAAGGTAAAGTCACTCATTGATGAGAGGATTCTTTTTGAAGGAAGTCAATGAAACATTAAAAATTCAAATTTAATTGTTTCTAATCATAATTCCAACTTGCCAATTGCCAAATCTCAAGACTAAAAGTATGATTGAAATAATTTTTCACTCTAAGAGCATTTTTAATTTTAAAGCCTGTTTTACATTTTTCTTGTTCATGTACTTTTTTGAATTTTTATCCAATTATCATAGTAATGGTTATTTTGAATACAAACTATTTTACAGTGACTTTTTGCAATATTTGGAAAGGTACAGATCAGATATAATTGTATTTCACATCCCTGACAGAGAGCACAAAGATTTATCAATATCTGCATTAGTTTTCTTTACTCTCTGCTTCAAATGTAAATGACCATACACCTTCTTAATATGTTCCATCAAGTAAATGATGGAACATGGAAACATCATTGAAACTTCATATCTGAATTTAATTTTTTATCTAATGAAATGCCAATTACATCTGAAATAAACTTATTTCTTTAAAAACTAAAAAAAAAAAAATTGAAAGCAGAATTTTTGGGGAAATCTTGGGAATTCTTGAATAGAACAGATGTGATGTAATGTGTAATAGAAATGATTGGAAAAAACTGAAAAATTATCTACAACACAGCAAAGAAAGTATATTTACCATTACAACCTTTTGTGAAATTTAACATTGCAGGAATTATTAACCAGCAGATTTTCTCCCTGTTAATCCCACTAAAATATGAAAGGAGGTATCTTGAAGCACTGCATGTATTCCTCTACTTTATGAGTTGAATGAATTAAATTTGATAGATGATAGGGAAAAGTCACAAAAAGAGTGAAAAACAGAGTATAGAACAGCACAATCCAAATGTATTAACAGATTACAAAAATTCTGACCACAATAGTGAACTTCATTGCAAGATCTGTCACAAAACCAGACAATCCCATTCAACAGTTTAATACATTTTAATACAAATATGTTAGCAGTTGGGTTCATGATGTACGTACAAACAGAAAAGGCAAAAACAGCTAAAGCAGGGTTTCACCATTTAAACAACAGTTTAAATACATTTATGATTAAACAGAAATATACATACTCTCTCCCAAAAAGATATATACATTAACCTCTCATAATAACCATTATTTTCAAGGGACTGTGATTACCAAAGCTGATTAATTACAAAAGGTTAGTATCGTGGAAAAAACATGCAAAATAACACATCCACATACATGAAAGCAAATATATAACATATAACAACATTAATTAAATGTTTATCAATCAGACTTGGGCTGCAATTGATGCAAAGCTTGTTATTTATTGGTAAGCAACATTCACGCACACCTACCCAAGAAATTTACCAGAAACGATAACAAGAAGCTTGCAAAGAGTGTGCAGCTGCTCATAAAAGAAGAAATGCAACTGCAAAATATACCTAAACCTCGATGTAGTCGTAAGAACGTTCGGCATCCCGATACATAGTTGGACTTTTTCAGAAGCCCAGCTTCACTTTCATATTTAACCATTCTCTTCAAGGTAGTGAAATTATCACCTTCAGTACCTTTTCGCAATTCTTCGAGAATTTCAATTTTGCTTTTAACATCGGAAGCAACAAAACCAAATACTGCCCCCATTAACTGAAAAAAACTGAAAAATTCACACAACTAACATTAATAACCAACTTCACCTTATACTTTTAAATCTCACTCTACAGAATCCCAACTTTTACATTCAAAAAGAAATTTATCCATTTTTCTTCAGCAAAAGTATAAAAGGAATAAAATATTTACCCTCTGGAATATTTACAAGTCAACAAAAAAAATTGAGGCAACAAAGACCTATCAACTGCAGTGTAACTTCTTACAGTTTTAGAAGTACTTTACATAAGTTAAAAGCTTTCAATCACACATGAACAAAATAATTCCATAAAGAATGGGGTTATGTCATGGAATCAACTTCACCCAAACTGAGAACATATTGCATGCTCCACAACATTAAAATACACAAAAATACAAATTAGGCTTCAGGGATATTTAAAAACAGTAGTAATAACTACTTACTTGTACAATTCACCGTATGCCTCTAAATAATCGTCCATACAAACATCCTCATTTTCAATGCAGGATGCTGAAAACCCTTGGTGCACTTTTCCCATATCAAATTTCAGTTCTTTGCGGCATTCCTTTGTGCTCACTTCAACAACTGCCATTTTTAAATATCAATATTTTAAATGGGACACAAGTAAGCTAATTAGCTCCTTTGTTTCAAGTCCTCCCATTCACACCATTTAACACCAGTGGCCTCGCATTCTCCTTGCCTTCAAGGAAAGCAAACTCTCTGCTGCTACGTGACAGCACCGCCAACCACGTCTTTGAAAAGTATTTCGCAATCTATACATAATCTCGTCGTTAAAAATTATTAGTAAGAGTGCCAAGAGAGATGTACATGATGTACATGCAAGAAATTTATATTTTCAGAGGATTTTACATGTTTTCCACTAATCTTAAGTAACCTGCTGATAGCAATCAATATTAAAAGAATATTACAAGAAAGTTAATCGAATAAGTTATTAAGGATACAAAGAGAGTAAGTTACAAAAAATTGAGAAAATAATCATAAAAATACTATATCAGGCTACACATAACCTTTCTCGCGTTTCAAATAAGATATACCAGAACTTGACATTGCGTACTTTTGATCACGTTCGTAAAGCGTCTGGGAACTGGAAATTTTTTGGCTGAACATCAGTTTCATTACTGCTACCATTTAGATACACGCGTACACAAAATTTCATTCCTTCGTGAACCAAAAGACCATAAGAATATAAAAAATATTTTAAAGACAAAATCGTAATTAGTTGGCTGTTATACGACCACGTTTTCTTGAGCCCCGGAATACCTACCCTCATTCCTTCACCAACATTAGTTGAATTATGAATATGTTATAGAAACGAGCGTTGTTGGTAAATTCTGATAACCAGAAATGTTCGCATTTGTGTAGTATAAACTATTTTGCATTGTAAACCGAACTATAGATTTGATATATTCCTGTCGCCAAAATAAATAAACCCCCACCCCCACCCTCTCGCATCAGATAAGACGAGGGCTCAAGATAATACGTGGGGATAATTCACTGAATGCAGACTCAAAAACATCGATTTTCTAGCTTTTCGGAAGGCAGTCTCGGCGCAAACAAAAATTACATTTTAATTTTGATGTCACCAATAAAAAATATCGGCTCAACAGTTTTCTGGATTATAATAATCCCCTAGTTCGCATTCGGCTACTCGATTATTTCTGAACAACGACAGGATGCAAAGAAGACTACACTATATAAGCAAACTGTCTCTCTTCGTGACAAGTGGTCGGATACCTCGTGCGAACTCTGACACTTGCTTCACAGAATGCAGAAAGCTGTTTCCCTTATACTTATAATATACTCTATTATTATTATTATTATTATTATTATTATTATTATTATTATTATTATTATTATTATTGCTATTACTATTATTATTTACACTGTTAACATTAGTTTTTTATCTTGCACCTAACAAATCGTAAACCTAAGGAACCTTCATAAGTAAGTGAAAATTTAGTTTCAACCTAAAGGTTTACATAATATTCTATATTCCTCACAGAAATTAACTATGCTAGAAAGCTTCAGATAAACATAAAAATGTAGAGGAAGGGAGTCATTACATTTCGTAGGACACATGGTAACATTAGCCATTTGCTTCTGATACTTAAACCAGCAAACCTTGATTTCACAACTTCCTCTAATGCACGAATTTCTAACTTTTTTCTTACATCAATCTCTCGCTTTTCTTCATCGACCCCCTTGATTTTTCTATAATATACAGCATACAATATACCCATAACTCGAATAATTCCACATAAATGACTTCATAACAATTAAACAAAGAATATGAATTAAAATGTTGCAAAAATGTTTATTAGATTTTTCGGAAGGGGGGGGGGTCGCCCACTTGATCAGATCGTGACTGACTCCCTTAAAAATTCCATCGGTCCCCAGGGGCCACCGTTGGGAACCACTAATACATGGATCAGCAAAAGAGAAATATTCCGTCAGTTTAATTGTGATGTTTATTTGTGAACGCTCACTGATTGCCAGTCTAATGACTTCGACTTAGCGCTATAGTTAGTTAACAAATAGGAATGTCTTCTATTACAGGCGCATGCCAAAGCTTCCCGCCAATTTCAGCTTTTAAACAAATCACAATAACAGCAACTGAAACGCTCTTTTTACGCAGTAATCTATTTCGTTCGAAAACAAGGACAAATATGTGCTACTAATTCATGAACTCAAATGAGCGCGAACTAGTATATATCTTATTACAATTATAATATAATGTAAACCAGATTATATCAAGTAACTATTGAAACAAGATACTTACTGATATAATTTGACTAACTCTTTGTAAGCCTTGAGGTAACATTCAATATTAATATCCTCATTTTCTATGAGGCAAGAAGAGCAGTTTTTAAATATTCCTTCAATATCGAATTTGATTTCTCTATTTTCGTCTCCTTCAAAAACTGTATTTTGTTCAGACATAGCTATAAATTACCCACCGAAAGATCTATTTCCCGTCAACACCTTGAACCCGAAATGATACTCTAAGATAAAATCAAGATCCATCATTATACAACATTTATTTATCATTTATGTGATAATCTAAGATAAAAATGTCTTCATTATCAAGTTTAGGCTCTCTAACAATGTCATTACTCTCTAATCGAGAGATTCAATAACTGCTTCCGCCAGACACTTCTCCCATTTCAGAAAAGGCAAGTGGATATCACAAGGCGTGGAAAGTGAACCTTACGCATCTTGGGCATATTTATGTACGCACACAAACTTCAATTCTCGCAATAATCACGATGGGTAATTATTACGTGGTTTATTCGAAGATTTGACTAAAATATTTCTAAACAATGAGCATGAAATAACGGCATAGGAAGATACAATGGCGAGGTGTCCGGATATTGTTAGAAGTGCCGATGACCAAACATAGTAATAAAACATTGATTTCAAATATTTTAGGCAATAATAGGATCTTTTACACAATTATTGAAATACTATCATATTTTAACAATATTTGTTATGAAACAGTCGAGAAATAGTCATGAAACAAGATTATTGCAAAGGAATCGCTAACATTAGCGCATGGAATTGGCGCATTGATTTATGCATGGAATTGAGAGCTCGCCACACGCTCACTGTGGCTCAACCAGTCACAAGCGGTTCATGTTATGACCTCCTGTCTCTAAGCATCCTTACAAAATAAGCTAAAGCTCACGAAAAATCAGAATATTTGTTATATCAATAGCTATCCAGTGAATTTCAGTCCCCCCTACCACCACAATCTTAAACTCCCCTCTTACATCCGTGATCACAGGAACAACGAGCCGAAGAATTCTACAGCAATTTCAACTTCATTACAGCTTTAAAGTGTCCAGAAAATATACTAAAAAGAATGTGGAGAAATATAAACAGAAATACTAACATTGTCCGAGTGTTTAAAAGACAGAATATCTTACGAAACACACTTCGAATACCCTATCTCCAGTAACTTCAGAAGGATTCTCCAGGATATCTTGCGATGACAACTTGTACATAATACAGAAAAAAGTGTTCGCTGGTAACTGTTAATATAAGTACTGTAATGGATTCGACGAATCACGATTTACGTATTTATGTACGTTACACAAAGTTACTAAAACTAACGATTTTTAATTAAAATATAACTTACTTGTTAAGTTCTTTCCATGTTCTAATGTAGGAATCCATTTCTATATCGCCATTGTCTATCAAAGTTGCCTTGCATTCTTTGAAGCCTCTCTCTACATTAAATTTCAGATCGTCTGGTATGTCTAGTTGATTTTCTGCCATTTTTGATGTTAAAGCTGGCTGTCCAACTATACAACTGTTTCTGGATTAATTTTTGCAAAATAGAAGTAATCTTATCGGTATAGTCACTTGAGAGCGCGTGCTGAAGGAAAACGCAATCACAATATACACGGAGAAGCTTATCTTTCGATTTTCTTAAGTAGTCCGTCAAGCATGGAATGGCCAGACCAGGGTCAGGCGGTTCCAGACATGATTTCTGAGATAAGTTGAAGTCGCTAACTGCAATTAAGTATATAACTTTATTCCCGTAATAACTCCAGGTATTCCAATAGGCCTTATCGCATTAAAATCAGGGAACAACACTTTCAATACCGATATGTTGAAAACGCAGATTGCCATTCCTGTTCTTAAATTAAAAGGAGTGTCACTCAGTTTACCAAATGCCTGCCTGAGAATGACAAGGTTAGATTTGCCAAATACTGTTTTGATGTTTGAATTCATCATTGTTTGATTTACATAATGTTAAAAACAGATTTCAATCAGACGCGGAAAAATTTTAAATGACACCATTTTGCTTATCGTTATTAGTCACTTTACAAATTACAAAATGCTCTCTTGTAAAATTTCTTTAAAGTCAGAACGTAATTGTGCTGAGGTTTCGGAATAGCATTAAGGTTCGTAATGCTGGACACGCGTACAACCTACTACATACTACAAGTTGTAGTGTAACACGTGCATAACAAATTTCAAAAGAAGTTGGTTTGTAAACGATTGGATGTAAATATAAATAAATGAAATTAAATTATGACATTCGTAGTAATGTAATTGAAAACGACATAAGAAAGGACTTTCTCTAGTAAGGTTTTCAATTTTAGGAAATCTTTAGATTAGGAATTATAATTTTTAAAGGAGAATGAATGTGTTTGTTCCACAAGAACTTTAGAACTGGAGCTTAGCTTGCTTTCCAAATGTTACTCCAATTCTTTTAAGCGTTGTAGAAAAATATAAAGCGTATTACGATTTGAAATTTAACCCCAAAGTGTGTATCTGTGAGTTTGTTTAGCAACATTTGGTTAAATGCGCATTTGGGTGACTCAATTGATGTGTGACGCGGAGCAGAACCGGAGGATGCGGATAGAGCAGTTGGAGCTATACTAGCGAGAGGTGCAGGAGGGTTAGAATGGAGCAGAACGAGCGAGAGAAATGGGCAGAGCGAAAGGGCCGGAAAGGGAAAAAGGTGCGAGGAGTGGCCGGAGCGAAAGAAGCGAAAGGATCGGAAGGAGAGCAAGGAAGCGGCCGAAGAGACGGAGCGAAAAGACCGGAAGGAAAGAAAGGGCTGAAACAAGCGAGAGGAGCGGACGGAGAGAAAGGAGTGGGCAGTGAGTAACACGCGAGACGAGCGGAAAAGAGAGCAAGCAACGGACAGAGCAAGAGTGAAAAGACCGAAAGGAGAGGAAGAAGAGAACAAGCGAGGAGCGGGCGGGGCGGTGCAAAAGGATCGAGGAGCGAAAGAAAAGAGCAGTGAAAGGAGCAGAGCGATCGAGAGAAGGGGATGGAGCTTTTGAAAGGTATAGTGATACATTTTGCCCAAGCAACGCGGGGTGTTTGTTTTTTTCACAAAAACGTTAGCATTAGAGATACTACTTTCACATTATGCACGAATACTTTTGAACGGCTGAGAAATAACAGTTGTTTGCGATTCGAAATGTTATCTAAAATGTACGTGTGCGTGGTTAATAGAATCTAGAAACGTTAAATGAAATTCCCAATGGATCTACGGTACAAGTATTTCGGGGTTCTCCGATCAGTACCCGGCGAATGCCAGAGCAGTACCCTAACAAACGGAACACATAACGCGCGGACCTATCCTTACTCCTTAGAAACACAATAGAGGCACTACACTACCGCACATGCCAGGAGACCAATGTGAAACTTAGTGCTTGTCACGGCTGTTGGAAAGGTTATGTGGTTCGAAGATCAGAATCTATCTTCGGGCAGTGTACATTACGAAGATTTGGGTACCCTACGAATAATTATCCCAGACTAGTTGAACCTTAAGCGATTACATCGCACGAAATGGACGAACTGAATGAAAGTGCAGCATATGAACTCTACGGAAAATCGACTCCCCCAACCGAAAAAAGGAAAGTTTCAAGTCGTTTAGTAGTATCTTTTTTTAACACATCCACCTAATTTAAAAACGAAATGCACTACGTATTATCGCAATTAGTGACTTTTTTTGTAAAGGGACACATTTTCACTCGATTGCTTTACATTGCGTTTATATACTCTCACTATCATTTAAAAACACCAAATCTTCAAACTTGAAAATCTTGCTATGTTCACTTCGCTCATTTCAAACACTCATACGGACTTGCCTGCTCGCGCTGGACGAAGAGAACGAATGCACCGCAGGCTACGAAACATCGAATGATTTCAATATACCGATTGCAACTCGCACAACCAAAGTACATGATGAACAAATTATGGCGTATAAGTGTACAATCAATTAATGTTCACAAACATAAAGGGAAGTTCGGAACGTGAGAAGAGGAAGAAGCGGGCGGAAAGGAAGGGATGAATGAAACGGGAATAAGAGACCGCTAAAGCATTGCATTCATGACTTGCGATCGTTTGAAACTTCTCAAACCGTATGTTACTGCTGTATGCCTGTTATTAAATAGCATCCAGCGTATTTATAACAATTTCTGTATGATCAGGGTCCTTGCAATTACCCAGAAAAGTAGTGACATCTTTGTCGATTACCCAAGCTTCTTTTTCCTTTGTTATCATGCAAGTTTCAAATTCTTTATCCTTAAGTTTCCAGATACCTGGCCCAGCAAAGATTCCCTCATTGAATTTGGCATCAGATCAACCTGGAAACATTTTGGCAGGTAATTGAAAAAATAGCCATCTTTTAAAAAATAGCCTTGACAAATCGCCTGCCTGCATGAGAACAACATACCTGAATTAATTCCATGGTACAACAGGAAAAACTAAATGATTATTTTAATTAAGACAATGTGTCAATATTTTTATTCTACACTTTTTAAAACTTATGTAATTCTGCGACATTTGTTTTTTACAGAATGTGATGACAGTTTATTTAAGTTTATATTGTTGCATTAGCAGAAATGGTGTCAAGTCATTGACATGTATAGACTCAATGTAAACTACATACGACACATTCGTATTTACGCATATTACTGTAATATATAAAACTCAATGTGTGTTCGTATTTTATGGGCTGCCGTACCATTCATCCGGTTACGACTTCGTCAACTTCTTGCTTGTATTTGCGCAAAGAATATAGACAGGCGTAGATCCACGCGGAGGGAAAGACCCTCCCCCCCCCCACACAAAAATGTTCAGTAACTATTAATTTTAACATGTCACGAGACAAACATGTCCAAGCAAACATATTTTCGGATTATCATTAAAACGAATAAAATCGTATTGCAGCATGAGCTAAATGTAGCCTGCGACATTTTATAAAATCTGTATCATGACATATTTGATGAAATCATTCCGAATTTCCCCTCCCAAAATTCGTCTCTGGATCCGCCCCTGATATAAGTATAGTACAAAAGGGAATGTGCGTATGTCTATCTCACGTAGAGCACGTTGTTGATTTTGTGCGTTTATGCAGTCTCAAGCGCCCCTGAACAGAAGCTCTACGCAACCCTCTGCACCCTCAAGTATTAAGCGAGTCTTCGTTGCATATTCTGCCCCTGCGATTGTGAAATATCGTGCGGAATTATCGGGGGCAAGAAAATATTTCACCCGTGTCATAGCGAATGCATGCTTAACTTAACGATATAACAATAAGATTCTAAACGATACTCGCGACAAAATCTGTCATCTATGAAATTTTTTTGTAGAGCGTACCGTAAAATGTGATTAACAATAACGTGACCAGTAGCATGAGTGTAATACCTTGCAATACTGAAGTATTACCGGGACCACTAGTTTTTATTAAATTATTTCACACAATAGTATCGAATAATATGATCAAGACTGCCATCTTCCTGGGGAGTGCGTGGTCACTAAGGCTGAGTTCAAAACCTGCATAAGGGATTATTGTTTTCCGTAGTATTTGTGGCATGTGTGAACAGAATTTAAAATTAAGATCTGAAGTTGCCTGAAATATTTTAGACTAAAAGTGCCAAAATCATAATAAAAAACAAAGAATCTGGAGCCTACCCACATCATATACCGCCTTTCTTGACACTTGCCCCCCCCCCAAAAAAAAATTATTCTTTCATTTAAGAAGGAACTTCTTAAGAAGCTGTGCGAAAAACGGCGAATTTTTGCGAAAAAACTCTTATTGCAGGATCCCGGGAACGAAGTGGATAAATGCAGATGCTAAATTTAGAAGAAAAACTTCCAATACCATCGATGATTCCCTTTTGTGGGACCTTGATACCGAAAAATTTATTGACGGCAAAACGTATGTTCGTGAACGCTGAGTAAATCGTCCAGCAGATTTTCTCCAAAATTTATATCTCTAAACGGTCTGGCTGATGTTGCGGCTCTTTGAATTTGAAACCGTTATTTAATATTGGGGGCATTTTAAATGAAGGCCCTGGGATATTTTAAAAAAAGAAATTGCGCCATCGAATTTAATACAATTATGTTGCTGGATAGTCTGAAGGACGTTTAAGAGAATGGCGCAGATCTCATATTGGTTAAAAACTGATTCGAAAAAAAAAAAAAAAAAAAATCAAGTATTTTTCGGCGCATTCCTACAGCTAAAATACTGAAGACCTATTAATGAAATCTGTTAATCAACTAAAATATTGAAGGTTTCCCTTAATGAAATCTGTTCCTTAAAGATAGATTTTGAATAAGGTCATGTACAATCTTTCAAAAATTTGTACTTTTTGCGTAATGTTGCGCGAAATAGAAAACAATTTTTGAGTTAAGTTATGAAATTTTGGAGTTGTATCTTAAGGACATTTAAGAAAATGATACAGCTCTTTTGTAGGTTGAAAACCCTGATTTTTCAACAAAGGTAACAATTCAAAAATTTTCGGCGTCTACAACTACAATTATCAATTTACATTAAAATGTGTTCATCAAAAACTGATTTTTAAATAAGGTCATGTTGAATTTTTCAAAAATACTATTATATATTTTTTTGATCTATTAGTTTTCCAACGCTATTAGTATTGTATTATTTATTAATTTTTAAATACTTCACCTTCTTGAACTCTGCTAATTTTTCACATTAAATGTTCTGTGATTTCAAATGAATATTACAAAAAATAATTCAGAGTGAAATTGTGGTATAAATAGTATTACATAACTATTACTAATGGTGAGAAAGTATGTGCTGTTTTATCATTAGTTTTCACAACAGTAGCAGAAAGTATTGTATCAACCTTCAAAAATTGTTGTTTTTATTCAAGTTCACAATTTTCTAAAATACCAAACAAAATTGTTACCTTCCAGCATGGTTACACTATTATAGGTGTAAAGAAATTGGTGTGTGCCTGTGATTTCAAAATAACTCAATTTTGAACTCTTATATGGTTACTTATATGATATAAAAACCAATACAATTGTTTTTGTGATTTTTGTCTATCTGTTCGTTCAGAGCTAATTTCTGAAAAGGCTAAACCGATTTTGATGCAGTTTTCACTGAAAAGTAGTGTATTTTGTAAGGCACACCTTAAAGACTACTTTCACCTCCCTTCTTTCTTGTAAATGTTTATTTTCTCTTGCCCATAGAATGAGAATGAAGAAGAATCTCTCTTGCCCTTAGAATGAAGTATGAATTAAAATATTATATATACATCTGATTCTTTGGAAATAAATCTTATTTGTGCAACACCATTCACTAGAACAAAAAAAGGAAATACACTTAAGGTCTTCAAACTAAAAATGTTTACAGAGTTTTCATAATACTGCTCATTGTAACAAAGTGATGCAAGCAGAAGAATGAAAAGCTACTCTAAGCAACCGCCTGTTTAGAACAATCTAAACAAAAGAGTTGTCACTAAAGATGATGTATGAGTTAATAGTGTTGTATTATTTCAAAAAAGTCATTTCTTATTTACATATTTTTTTCTTATAAGAAAGTAGTATTGTGGAAAAGTATTGAACAATACACAGCCAATATCACAAAAATAGACTTGATTGGATGCAATCCTTAGCTATCACCTCCGTTCAAAATCTTCATCCACATCTGGTATTTGCTCTGTATGGTCTAATGATGTTAAGAACTAAAACAGCCTGATTTATTTCATTTATTGTCTAGGGACTTTTGAAAAGCATATTTTTTTAAATTAAATAATATAGTCAAATGAATCACCTTCTGGAATGCTACACTCCAGTGCAGAGACCCAGCAGTGAGAGTTTAACATTAAGTAGCCTACTGTTTAATTCCATTACCCTAGATCAGCTGAACGTGTAGTATAGGTGTTGTGGTGCGTTATCATTGGCATTTTTCATGAAATAATTATAGACGTCATTGCCAACAATAGTATTTAATATAAGAGCAGCTTTTGATTGCTTAGCCATCATCAACTGATGATGACCAGCAGACAACTGATGATGATGGCTAAGCCATCGAAAACTGCTCTTATAGTAAACACTATTGTTGGCAATGACAACGTCTATAATTATTTCATGAACGGGTAGTACTTACTAACCAAACTACACATCAGTATCTCGGATGAAAAATAATTATTTATCCACCAAGGGCATTATTTAGGGGTTCTAATGACCAGCAACGACAAAAAGCCCTTGGGCTTGAGTTCATATGAACCAGTCAACACCATACAGTACAGTACAGTACAGTACAGTACAGTACTACACTGTACAGTATAGTCCAGACAAGACTTTATTTTTTACATAACTTTAATGATTCAGATTAATTAACTAGATGTTAACTTCACTATGTTTCTCTTTTAACAATTCTCTTCATAAGAGAACATTTAGCAGCATCATTCAAGAGTTTTCATATTTCTCTCTACAATCCTTTCACTGTCAATCCCGGTAAGTTGTGCAGTGTGTATCAATCTTCATATCGAAGCAATAACATATCAGGACAAAATACATATTTTTATGTACCTACCAAAATTACTGATCAAATTCATATTAAAAATATTTTATTGTATCCACAAGTCTCCGACTGCATTAACAGTATAACTAGACATTAGACTTTCAAATAAAACTTTCATTGCTATTATTCACAAATTAAGGAAATAGCCGAATAAAACAAAAACAATTTTTATTAGACATATTACATTATGTATAAAGGCGCACAGTCCCATCAGCTCCACTTGAAAACAACCATGGTTGCGAAGGATGAAACAAAACTTCAAACACTGAAAAGTCATTTACTGGCTCATGATAACTCATGCGTTTCAAGGGAACGATAAGAGGATTTTGAAGCAAATCACTGGAACAAAAACAAATTCTTAATTAAATATGTTTTAAGAAGAAATTATCAATATTTCAACAAAAAAAAACCTAAATAATATTTATGTTCAAGACTTTCAATTACCAATTTTAGTACAATTGCACATTATTCTTCTCAAGGGATAATTCATCTAGTCACGTCATTGTTTCAAATTATGGAACAGGTTAATATTTTCCAATAATATAATGATAACAAAAAAATATTAAGATCAATTTGATACTTACTTGTACACCATTCCATGACTGACTATTACACAATTTTCATCTGAACTTGAAGCAAACAATGGGTATCTTTTGTGGTATGCAACACCTCTCACTGCATGACCATGAAACCGTAATGTTTGATATGGTTTTGTGGAAAGATCAAGGTCAAACCACAAAATCTTGCGATCGTAAGTCCCCACCAATATATTATCTCCACCTGATCAATAAAATAGAATAATTATATAGAAAGAATTACACTTACTTATATTACAGGAAAATTCAAGAATTACACTTAAAGATCTAAAACTAAAAAACGGAACAAAACAATCAAATTATTGTTTCAAGAGAATGTTTGTGGAAACATTTGGATGGTTTGATGTACACGCTGAAAGACATTCGTAGAGAACCTGAAAAAATGAATAGTGTTGGGACCAAAACAAAGTGTGTGAGTATGTGCAGCAACTTTCAAATTATCAAGCGGATAATATCCCAATTTTATACATAGACGAAACAAATTTTAATTCATTTATTTTAAGGAAGAAACGATGATCGAAAATAGGTACTTGATGCAGCTACATAACAGGAGGGAGCTGCGGAGCCAATGTGCATGCCATAGGTTGCGGAAGTGCTATGGGACTGATTCACCATCAAATTAGAAGAGGCGCTTTTAGAAAGGAGGAAGCTAAAGAATTTGTGCACCAATGTCTGCGTGTTGCATTAACTGTGTACCACTCACATGCTGTGTTAGTAATTGATAATGCTCCCTGTCACTGTGGTGTGGAAGAAATATTCATAGAAGAAGAATTCAGCAACCATGACTTACTAAGGCTCAGACCTTACAGCCCAATGCTCGAAATTCTCAATCGAAAATGCCTGGTCTAGCCCCAAGGGTGCTGTTAAACGAGATCTGTGTGTAAAAATGCCACAAATTTTAGCTGATGAAGACAGGGCAAATATATTGCAAACTGAGTTTCGTCTTCGTATGTTAGAAAATATTATAAATCAAAATACTGAAGTAATAAATGTTAATAATTGTGCAAGATATGTGCTCATGTCCAAATATTCATTCCTGATGCCTTAAATTTAGAAGATATGGTTATGTACGTTATAATTGTGTTAAAAAAATTGATTTTGAGTAATGAGTTCATGTCATAAATTAAGCTCATTTTGTAATGTAACTTACTATTGAAATGTTAATAAAGTTGGTTCTGAGGAATGTGTCCACAATTTCTTCACTTTATTGTATTTATTTACATTGTTTCGACTCAAATTTGAAATTTACAACGTACATTCAGATAGATTTCAATTTGAAATTGCTTTGTCTCAATTTGAAGATGATAGGTTTCATTATGAATGTGTTTAGTCTCAATTCGATTGTGTTCATTCCCAATTTAAAACTGTTTGTTCTCAATTTGATGTTGTAAAGGTATAGAACACATTGCCCTTACACTCTCCATTACTGTTGATGGAAGTGTTCTCATATCAGTGGCAGCTTGTGGTCATGCAAGTCAGATGTGCAATGTCTCTCTCCTCTCTTCCTTCCTCCCCCTTCTCATACATAAACACATACACACACACTCCTTTACAATTTACATTTACTCATTTACATGCAAAATGCATTTGGGTATTCATTAACTCGAAATGGATTTGTAATTGCAACTCACTTCAAAATACAAGAGAACATGCATACAATATTCAATTAACACAATTTGTATGAATGCAACACTGCACAGCAATGTTGTTTTGCGTGCGAGCGAAGAACTGTTTTATTGGAAGGAATGAGAGCTATATCTCACACTTCCTTTGTTCAATTTCACATTTACTTCTACAAACTTGTGCTGGATGAGTGTAATATCTTTGAAACACGTCAAGGCACTAGCTGAGATTGCCACTATGTCTGTGCAGTGACGATCGTACACTCCGCCGAATCCTCCATCCATCCATCCATAAGCCACTGTTGTTCCGTCTCTTTCCCCTTCAGCCATGTGGCAGTCTACAAAGAGCTTTACACATTCGCATTTTGCGAGTGTATTCTGGCTGTCTGTCACAAAGGACAATGGCAGCGGAGTATCAATTGCAGCTTACAAACAGTATGCGTTTTGAAATACAGTGTTTCAGAAATGCTGTGAGTGAACTTGTACTTCTCTCTTAAGAGATATTTAAGAGCAAATGCACCGAATTGATTTGGGTGTGCACAAGTGAATATGCATGAGCCACTGCATCATATTGAAGTACATACTACCCATATTACTCATAATATTCATGTTACTTCTTTTCAGATTGCATGAATCTATATTACTGATTTACGATGCTTGCAGAAAGAGAAACAAAACTGGTCTACGGGCATGTGAGAGGTATCTGTGATTTTGTTGGGTACACAAGAACTATGGAAAAATATGAAAACAAAGGAACAGTTTTGATTTCAACTGAAAAATTCTTTGCATCTTTAAGCTATTCTCATATTATATGTACCAACTGAATTCTCATACACAGTGCATCACTGTTCACGATGCACCTAATGCCATGCGGCAGCAAGTCTCCAAGGAAGAGAATGTCTACCGTTAAATATTTACCATTTGCATGTTGCATTATGGAACAGCAGCATTTCTGATATTCATGGTAGGTAAAGAACTGTTTTACTGTACATATACCTCATATTATTGCTGTATTCATGAAGTTTGTTAAATTTCAGTTTTTGTTAAATCATTTAATTTATTGCAGTGATATAAGAGTATTTTATTGTTTAGAACCTTGAGCAGTGTCCTTTATGAAAAAACATTGAATGTGGATTTGTTCAGCAACATTTCTGCTACAGTTGGCAAATAGTTTAGGACTATTTGTTTTATAAATGAAATCATCTTAAATCTTTAATAAAATGTAATAAAGAAGTAACTCACCAGGATGAATTGCAATTGAGGAGATCCATTTTGAATTAGACAAAAGCTTCTTCACTATTTCTTGTTTAACCAAATCATACACTCTAACATTTTTCTGAGTCTGGTTCAACAAACCAAAGAATTAAAACAATGAAAAATACAAACCATACAAATGCTTGTAGCACATAAAATGAAAAAGGCATGGAAATTAGTGATACTTACAGCCACAAAAAAGATGGGGCGAATAGGATGAAAGAGGACACATTGAACAAGGCCTTTAGCTCTGTTAAATGGGATTTGAGATCTCCGCTTTGATACTTGATGTATTACAACAGATCTAGACTGACCTTCAGGCATCACAGTTGCAAAATAATCACCACGGCCATGCCAAGTCACCTATCAATTCACAGAAAGAAAATAAATAACCTGTCACTAGTAATGTTAGTGATGCCTAGAATCAGAAATTCAAAATACACATCACACATAACAAACAATATTTTTAAAACTAGTTAAGAATTTCTAGGCAAATCCAAAGATAGACACTAATTCAAAAGTAAACAAAATATAAATCAGTAAATGAATTAAAGGTATGTTTATTCACTTAACAGTGGCCTTTTTCTCTCATCATCTTGGAAAAAAATTTCAGTTTCCATTTAAAGTACTTTTTTATTGTAGGTAACAGTACTTTAAATGGAAACAGATTTTATATTTCATCAAGACTTGTTTATTATTTTTATTATTATTATTATTATTATTATTATTATTATTATTATTATTATTATTATTATTATTATTTTTAAATTAATATTCCATAGAAATTGAACTTTTAACACATTAAAACACCTTTTATATTCAAAACATGAAAGTAGAAATTATACAGTAATAAATAGGAGGCGGATTTTGATAACCTAAAATATAGCCAAAAATGATCAATAAAACTCTTAAATACTTAAAGAACGTCCTAAAAACAGAAAAATGACATCAAAAATGACATTAAAAAATTTCATCAAAATCACTTCAGATGAACAACTCACACTGTTAATCATGTTACTGATGTAATCAAGGCTTCTTCCTTCTGTTCACGTGAATTCAGCTTGCGAATATTAGGTTTGGACTGTACTTAAAATCTTTGCATTTATTTATTGTGAAGCAGATTTGACAATGATGCCGATAGGCATTACAGGAATGTTAGATTACATAGTACTCACAACGCCTAACATTACAATATATGAGTGACGAAATTGAATTGGCTAGAGATCTGTGATGAACATCTGTTGTACCTTGTATGTTAATGCATGTACTGTTAAAATGCAAAATGCTAACATAAAAAGGTAAAATGTAACTTATTAGCACAAATCGACAAAAAATGAGAAAACATGAAAATGGGTCATTTTGTTTTATCATAACATAAAATGAATTTCTGTAGTAAACGGCATTGTTTTAAAGTGAAAAGAAAAAAGTGACATTTCATTAAAATCTGCCCCCTAATAATAAATATAACACACCATAGAAGTAGTAGTTATTAATCTACAAGCTGTTACACAAATCACCATGACACCTTTTCCGACAGGTTTAGGAAACTTCAAGTTTAAATATTGTATCTTTGTCGAGAAGCATTCAATAAAGAAAAGCCGGACTCAAAAGTTTCTTTGCCACTAAATCACATAGAATGAACTTGTCAATTCAGTTTTGCTACATCCAATGCTAGCTGTTAAACACAGAAAGGCTTTGAGAAATGTAGGGAAGCCATTTGAGCATACTTAATTGCCAACTTACGGAAATGAAAAGTCCAAGAAGATACTTACATTCATATTAGACATTGCTTTCCCAGAGCAACAATTCTACATTTTTTTTTTCAATTGTTTACAAATATTTACAATTTTCAAAACCATCTAATTATATTTACAAGCAGGTATCATTGATTTATAAAAGTAATAAACGGTTGAGTATTCGCCTAGCAACTGGGATGAACATACACCACAAATGAAAATGTTGGTGCATGGAATTCATTACGGAAGTACTAATTTTAACGAGGGTTTATAATGGAATAAAAAGTTGTCAAATTTGTGAGGGATCTACAAAACATTTTTCCAAGAGACAAAATGTTTCCCAGCTTGTGCACTGTACATGGGAAATTGAACCTGAACCTTCACTCACTCTTGATAATAGTACTATTTCTATTACAATTATTCATGTCGATTGAAATAAAAATATTTACCTGTTTTATTTCCTTAAAATGATTTATTACAACACGAATTCCTTTCTTCCATTCATCTCCTTTGGCTGAAACTTGTTCCCATTGAACTGCAGCCTTAACTTTCTCTGGCACTGTCAGGGCAGAAAAATACAGAGGTATGAATTTTGACGATAAATCTTAAGAATGAATATAGATAATAAACATCTTAAATCTTCACGGTCCTTTGACAGTCAAATTATTTCAAATATTTTTTTAAATATTACAACCACCTACATAGCACATCCTGTTCTGGTGCTTCCTCAAGGAGAGCATCAGTCTTTTTAACTACCAGGCTGTCACCAACTTCAGGATTAATTAAAAGGAGTTTACGGTCAGCAGCAACAGCTAATAAAGATAATGCAGTGTTTGGACACCAACTGATACTGCGAACTATTCCTCCAGCAGGGATGGTTCTGATGCAACGTCCTGTGGCCACTTCCCAAACTATAAAGGAAAAATAATAATAATAATAATAATAATAATAATAATAAAAAAAAAATAAACTGAAAAGCTAAGCATGTATTTCATTAACTATTTAATTTTTTTTTTAAAAAAAAAGGATACCCTTAAACCATTACTATCAAATGCATTGAGAGAGTACAACAAAAATCTTTAAAATTTCTGCATGCATGGCTAAGATGTTGATGGCTGAGAACCAGACTTTCTAGGTCCTTTTTACTAAATAATTCAGGAAAGCAGTTTAATGCGGTTGTATGTAGTGGGTAACTACGGAATGGGTTTGTGCATGCTCATGGAGAGGAATATTTACAATTTTGCTTGGTGCACAACCGCTGACAAGGACATAGAACTCAATGATACAGAAATCTCAATTTGTTAAGAAATTGGAATTAAAACAGTCTGGTTCTGAGCCATTTATGTGTAAGCACTACTTGATAATATATAATGTTGTTAAATTAACTAATTTAATTACATTGGAATCTTTTTTGTAGGCCTGTTTGATATATAAAATTTCAAATAATCTAATTTCACATGCTAATATTAAATTTTTGTTTACATTGAACTCTTAATTTAAAAATAAAAACTATATAAATTATAAATTTACCATCGAGAAAATTTGCTGGTCACATTCCACAACTTACTAGACTACACAACATTCTGATTTGTCCTTAATAGATTAATCACTATTTGTGTTGAAACATCAAGTTATGCTTTAAATTTTCTGTTAATTAATGTTTTTGGTTCTATAAGCTATATTTAGTTTGTTTATGTCCACTACATCTTGAACTGTGAATTGTATTTTTCTTATTTATTTTAAGCTCTGTGCCATGTTTCTTAAATAAAAAATACTTACTTTTTACTGTTAAGTCATCTGAACCTGAAGCAAGGTACTGTCCTTTAGGTTCAACGGTAATGCATCGCACCATATTAGTGTGGCCCTTATATACAAGTGCCAAAGTAGTAGGAAAAGGTTGCAAGTCTTTGGGGCTCGGAAGTTTTGGCACTAAATCTTCAGGTTGAATTAGAAGCTGAAAATAAAAATGATTTTCTTCTGCAAAATTTAATATTACATTCAAAGCAAAAATAAATGAAAGTACTGTATCTACTATTAAGATGGTGATATCCAGTGAACCACTATGCAAACAAAACAACTGCTACATACACACACACACATACATATTGAGTAAGTCATTTTATGCAGAGGGGGAAAAAACACCACAACACATATACACACTGCCCTGTATCAAGTGCACCCATTGGTGTGCACCCAGTCAGAAAGTAAGACACCAAGAGCACTTCGATTCCTGGAAACATGCAGTATGTGACACACAGGTTACAACAAAATTGGAAAATTACATAACTACGTTCTATGCTTTAGATACCAAAATGCTAAAGGATTTATTTAAAATTAAATAAGGAAGACATTGGTGTGATTTTTTATTGCATGAAATGACCTGCATTGTTATACCACTCTGCACATCGCTCGGTTGAATTGTTGGAAATACTTTTATTTATAATGAAATTATAGTCAAATATATCTTTTCATATGCCATCTCATTTACTGAATTTACAAGGCACCACTGGAACATTATGATTCCAATTATGACTTCCATTGTGGCAGTAGGATAACAAAATAAGGGTGTGTCGCCCACAAATTTTTATCTGGGTCCCTCTAAGAATATTGTGTGGAAGAATGTTGAATGATGGCAAGTGTTTAGTTAAGGCACACATCAGCAAAAGGAACCTGTTGAGGTAACCCTCTTTTATTTAACATTAAATTAACTTACCCTCATTTTAATAGCCCGAGGACACAAATACAAATCCAGGCAACGCATGAAACGTTCTTGAACATAACGATCATAGAAAGGCACTTCCCGCAAAGAAGCATATTTCTTGGGAATGAAATGGACTTTCCTTTGACTTGGCGTTCTCTTCATATTTTTCCATTGCTTCAGCTAAAATGAAAAGTAATAATAGTTTAAACACCATCACATTTTGTACTAATCACAAAAGTTCTTAAAAAGGTTTGAAAATGTACCTCTTTTTCATCAAATAAGTATTCAGGAGGAGGATTATATGACTCAGCATGATTTGGGGGATTCCGTTTCGGTGCTGGAATATGATTATGTATTCTGCGCATATGTTCTGCAGTGTCATCACCCTCCCACAACATGTAAAATTGAGGTTCCTTGGGTTTCTCTACCCTTGGCTTAATCCAACCCATCTTAATAGCATGAACTATTCTACCAACTTGCCGAGCTTCATCTTTACTAGGTATAAAAGATCGTTTTTGATCAGGGAATTTCCTTACTGGTGTTTTCATTACTTCAGATGAAAACCACTCAATCCAAGGCTAAAATCAAAAAGATAATTTATTAGTTAACATAATCATATTGATTTCAAAAAAGAACTTGTAACTGTAACACAAATGTTATTCATATCAAAGAACACACATATGATATTTATAATATTAAATAGGAAATCAGATACTTACTCCATACTCATTAAAATCTGAATCTGGAATTTTATGATTCTGTAATCTTTGAATAAGTTCAGCATCAGCATCACACAATATAACGTCCTGCCCAGTTTGAGGATCTTTCACAGTTCTCCTGCAAAAAGAAAATTCAAGAATAATTCTCCACACAACTGCACATTCTGGATTAGCAGAATTTCAATGATTTAAAATCTCACTCATCCTAACAGAAGTAACAAATAAATAAAAATTATGATGTTAAAGAGGATGGATTTCAAAAGAAGTGATGGTGAAAGAAAGATATGAATCGGACCATATGCCTATAGAAATTTCTGTGAATAGCAAAATCATAGGGAACATGGAATGAGATACAATGGAAAGAAACTTGGTCAGAGAAGGAAATAGCTAGGCTACAAGAAAAATTAAAATATAAAGATTTCAAAGGAGATGTAAGGGATATGATGGCACAATTAAAAGAGATTGAAAAGGACATAGATGTTAGAAAAAAAAAATTATGGTTAGGAAGGAGAGTCAAATATGTGAATAAATGGTAGGATAATTATTGTGATATGAAGATAACAGAGGTCTTCAGGAATTGGAAAATGAAAGTAATAAATAAAGCAAGGTACAATAAGTGGATTTTAGATTTATGTAAGTATAAAAAAAGATATTGAAATGATAGAAGAATTAATGAGCTAGGAGAGGTGAAATCTCAAAGTGAGGCATGGGACATATTAAGGGGAGAGAGAGGAAAAGTTCAAAGGATAGTTGGAATGTAATTAGATATGAAAGACTGGTGCATATGGTTCAAGAAAGTTTTGAAAGTAAGGATAACATGGAAGAGATGCAAAATGGAAGGAGGCCAATGATTATCAAGAACTTCATAAGAAAAATATACAAGGTTGAAAATGGATAATAAGAAATGCTCTCAAAGGATTAAAGTAAAAGAAAGGAGGCTGTGATTTCAAATGAATTCTGGATCTATTCTAAGCAAGAAGGGATAAGACTACTGGAAGCTTATTCAATATGATAATTGAGGATGGAGTTATTCCAAGCAGAATGGATAAAAGTGTAATTATTCCAGTTTACAAGAGAACAGAAACAAGATTGAAAATTACAGAGGAATAATGCTCATGTCATCATTGTATAAAATATTGATGAGAATTGTACGGGGTACTCAAAAGAGAAAAGCGAAAGGACTATTACCATGTAATCAAACAGGATTCAGAAGTGGTATGGGAGTTCTGAATAATCATTACACACTGAAATTATATCATACGAAGGGAGATAAAAGTAAGAAAGATAAGCCTATGGGCTGAATTTATTGATCTAAAGGTAACCTCTGACAACTGAATAGAGAATGCTCTAAGTTGACGCCAATGACTTGAATCAAGTTTTGAGGAGTTTAGGAAAATGTTTTAGAGACTAAGAGAACTCTTAACTAAATACAGATAAGAACAAGTGACAAAGGTTAAAAAGGGCAGAAGGAAGAGAAAATTATATGAAAAGGAAATATTTTAGAGATCCTGGATGACTATAAGCATTTAGGGTTTTGACTTAATAAGGAAGGGGGCAACAAAAAAAAAACATAGCAGAAATAAGTAAGATGATGATGGTGGCTAAGAATCAAGTGTAAGGCATAATTAAGAGAAAGTACAGGGATTTCTGGGCAAAAGGAATGATGATACATGTATTTAGTATTATTCTTCAGGAGGGGAGGGCAGAAATTTGGCAATGGAAGAAAAGGAGGAAACTGAAAGCAATACATGAAAGACTTTTAAGATGGATCCTAGGAACAGACTATTGCACACCCGGTTACATGTAAAAAGGAGAGACAAAGAAACAAAAAATGAGAATAGAGATGGGCAAACTATACACACACACTAAACATGTAACATGAGGAACGATTTAATAGAGGGAGAGAATATGAATTATTAAAGCAAGAGAAATATGACTGGGAAAGGGAAAGTTTTTGGAGTAATAAAGGTTACTCATTGATGATAGTGACCAAGTTAAAAGGAAAAGAGACTGATTTAAGTAAGGAATTGATTCAAAGGGATGGAGATCAGTTATTGCAGGGAGATTAAAAAAAGATAAACTCATCTTTCAACAAATGGTATAAAATTATTCAATTGTACGATATTTCAAATTATTTAAAAGGGATGGAAAGTGACAAGATGTAGGTTAGAAAATGAAATTAGAGTGAGTAGATATTGTCTAAATAGTGGGGATTTGTGAGATGGAAGAGCAAGGTTGGGAACGAGTATTAGAGAGATGCCAGATTTTTGAGGAAGGGAGAATGTAGGAAAGGTGAAATATTCACGATAAGGTGAAGTGGATATTAGAGGACAATGGTGAAAGGATTAGTATGGTAGAGAGATAAAGAAATGTGCATAGTATGTATCTGCTTATTGTACACTACTACTGTATTATAATGTTCATGTATTAAGCCACTCCAACTTTTGTATACTTATAAAGTTGTAAAATTCTTCCAACTACGATGAATGAAAAATATAAAAGACCCAATAACCAACACAAAAACAAGAGTACATTTAACAGAAAACATCAACATACAATGGATCAGTCAAAATGAAATAATAATTTAACAATGAATGTATTAATATAAAATTGCAAATGATATTCAACTATTTACTATTTGAAAATATTTGTTTTATTAAAAAAATGGTCAGATTTGGTGTTGACGATTAAAATTACGATTTATCTACAAAATCCAACAACTTTCACAAGATGGAAAGGAAATAATAAAACTTAAGAAAAACTTTAAAATGGAAAATTAACAACTCAAATGTACACCAAATATAGCATACCAGAAATTAGGGTCTTCCATTTTCTTCAAAAAGTTGTCAAGCTCATCTCCCTTTGGTGGTTTAATAATTTTTTTACCTTCCCAGTCATAGCCTACATGTGGGTAATCATCATACCAATTCATTGGAATATTGCCCACAGTATTTCGGATATCCTGAATATTGAAAGCAACACATAGGAAAAAATTAGATTAAAATAGAAAAATATAAACAAAATAAGACCAAAGAGAAATAATATCCTATTCTCCTGCCCTCTGTAACCATGTATTTGCCCCACAAACCATATGTTCACCAGAAAACTATAGTTAGCAGTTACGCAGTTGTATTCACTTTACATGGTCACTTAATTAAACCAACAAGTTCACTGGAATTCACACATATGGATTTCTTCTGGTAATCAACCTATCTGGAACTGATCTCCCTGATTTTCATTTCTGTGGTTCCAAACAAAATGCCATTGAAATGTTAGAAAACAAATTATACTTTGAATTCTTTTCAAGTTCAATTTTGAAATTCAAAACTGTTTTCAGTTAAATCTGCAGCCAATGGCTTAGTCATTACTATGGCTTATGATACAACATCATGTACTGATAATTGAGCAATTAGTGTCCCACAGAGAAGAAAAAATTGCCCAATTATTCTCATTTCAGCACTTCCATTGTCCTAAATGTACCAGAAGTAAAAATAAAAAACTTTTTCGAAGCAACACAATATTACGCAATGCTTAACCGTGCTGTTTCTCCCAGAACAAACTGTTTTAAAATGATTGAATCACTAGAAAATATTAATGGTCAACCATATTCAAGGGTTAAATGTGGCAATCCAAACTATGTTGGTTCCTACTTTAAGCAAAATATATAAGTGAAAACAAAATAAATACCTCTTCATCAGATGTATCATCTTCTTCATATTCATCATATTCGTTCTTCTTTTCCAAAACAATTTTATTTGGCATTACCTCATCATCTTTTACTTCACCTACTCCTCTTTCAGTATCTTGTTCATCTTCTGACTCGTCCGACTTCTTTTCTGTCTCACCACACAATACACTTTCTGTGTCAGGCCTTACGAATCTACCACCTGTGGATTTACGTTTCTTAGACTTTGCTATCTTACTGTTAGAATCCATTGTTTTAAACTGACCGTCACCACTGTCCTGTTTGTTACTAATAGATGTTACATTCTGGAACCTCTTTGAGAATCTTTTTAATTTATTATCGTCCGCTTTCGAACTCGATTGCACACCGTTTGGTTTGGTCTCCTCATTTTCGGAATGACTTTCGTTTGCGTCCTCGCTATCATCCTCAAATGACAAATCTTCACTTTCGCCGTCGGAAGTTCCGAAAATTGGTTCATCCTCAGAACCTGAATCAAAATTACTGGCTTGGTCGTCACCCTCTTCATCAGAACTGTCATTTTCGTTTTCAAAAGTTCCAAAAAGATTTTCATCCTGCAATACATACGTTTGGTAAAAACATCAATTAAATTATAAAATGTTGAGTGTCACACGTGCAAAAGAAGACAAAAATGCTTCAATTTTACACTCACCTTATCAAAATTTACTTCATGATCTGGGTCTTTATCCTCAATATCAGGCACCTTGACTTTTTCAACAGACAACTTACGTTTTGAAGGCTGTTTCTGCAAAATTACACGTTTGAGGTTATGAATGCACGCGTTTCCCCCAAAGGAATCTGCAGGTGCCAAACATACCTTGTTGGTAAATTCAGAGGAATTCCCATTTTCAGTAATTTTCAAGGAGTTGGATGTTTTCCTGTCTCTATCTTCAACTCCCATTCTTAGATTACTTCTCCTCACTTAAGCGTAACTACACGTTGATCAAAAACAGACTCACACCATTTACACACTCCACCATGCTTGAACTATTATGCGCTTTTTGCGAGCCCTCCGCGTGGTTGGCAGAAAGTACCTGGAAAGTACTATAACTTTCTGATGTTGGTACCAGTCTGCCACAGAATTTCTATTCCTTGGAACATATTACAACATTACTCCGTGATGTATTTGCGTCTTGGGAGTAAATAGATATGTATATACCTAGGAGGTATATTATAACCTTGGGATATACAGACATATGGAAGATCTATTCTTCCATGTCAGAAGTATATGGAATGTTATATACGACGACGACGATGATATAATAATAATAATAATAATAATAATAATAATAATAATAATAATAATAATAATAATAATAATAATAATAATAGTTTTGTGAATGAATGAATAAATAAATAAATAAATAAATAAATAAATAAATAAATAAATAAATAAATAAATAAATAAATAAATAAATTAAATAAATAAATAAATAAATAAATTTAAACGTTTCTAGCAACCAGTGCTGCAGAATATTGATAGCCCCAGTAATGCAAGACACTGAGGTAACGGGCGTTACGGACTGAACGTGCGTCTGCTGTTTGTCTTATATCACAATATTGAAACCGCTTCTATTTTCTTCTTTAATCTGTTTCATAGGGGTAATTTCCTACCCAGCAGTAGCACACTTACAGGCAATAGCGGCCAGAAGGTGGAGGGGGCAGGTCGGGCCACTTGCCCCAGGCCCCCACTGAATTGGGGCTCCGAACTTTTTTTCATTCAAAAGAAATGAAAAATATTTTATCTCTAATCCAAATTTATCGCAATAACTTATTTTTGATGCATGGAGAAATTTATTCTAGTAATGAATTGGGGAGGAGGGAATTTTTTAAGTTAAAAAAAAAAATGAAATAAGCAGCACCCTTGGATCAACTGCCCCGGGCCCTGCTTTTCTCTGGACGTCCCTACTTACAGGGTTCTGTATCGGTAGTTCCACCAATAGCGATTTCTCAGGGCATGAGAGTGATGAGTTTTCTTATTTTCAAAGTACATAATTAGGTACCAAATTAAATATTTGCTTTGATATTTCAAGAAAAGGATAATTTTTGAGTTGCCTATTGGAACCCGCTCAAATTCCTCTTTTGTAAACTAATAATAATTGATCTTAAAATACTAATATCAAATTTTTGCCTGCTCTGTATTTGTCTACTAATTATTTAATTTCTCTTCTTTTAGTTTCAGAAACGGAATCGTCCGCGAGTCATCGAAAAAGTTATTTACGCAGGTCGACAGACTTGCTCATAAGTGATTTCAAGCTTGAAAAATTTACGCAGGGGATTATTGAATTTAAACTATTTAAATAAAGAAAATACGTTCATCCTTCCGAAAACATAATTTTTTGTTTCCGCCAATTCACTTACAAATTCTGCAGATTCCCTGAAGTGCGAATAAACGACAAAACCTTAAAATATCATAACAATTGCAATCATCACGTTCATACTATATTTAGAAACACATTCATACCCTCCCTATAGCTTCACATGGCCTTTTGGCTTTTCGATTCCTTCTTATGAATTATTCTTCAATGTACATAAAACATAACTTGATCTTACTACATAAAAATCATGTTAAAAGTTTGTAGATTTCCCTATTGTTTCCTCAGTTAGTTGACCATTACGACATATGATACTCATTTTCCACCTTCGTTGTTTCACGCCATCTCGTTGCTGGAATTCGTTCAGACTTGCACTTTAAGTTCGAATTCTAATAACATCCGAAATTTTCGTCCCTTGAAAGTCCGTCCGTCACACAATTTCCAACAAATCGCGTGGTTACTTTCCGTTTCCAGTTCCTCTCAGAGTCAATTATCATTGCTCCGAATATTATACGATGTCAACTACGCTGAGGGCTCACGTCCATGCACTCTCATCGCCAAGCCCGTTCTGTCCTGCGAGTGATAATGCCCGTCTTTCAAATCTTCTTCAGCGTCCTAAAAGTGTATATTCTTGCTCACAACTGCGAATCTCCTTCAGCTGTCTAGTATAGAGGAAGGTCGAGTGGTATTGGCCACATTACCTTTAAAAATAATTTCTTAATTAAGATTAGTTAAAATTATTCGTGAAATACAGAGTACGAAACTTCAATCTCTTACTCATACACTCTATCAATGATGTGGTTTGAAAGTAAAATAATATGTTTATTTGGGAATAGTAAAAATCGTTGTCAATTTACGTATCTGAACAATGGAGTGTGGTATCGGAAAACTAAAGAAATAATGGTAAAATAATTTTAATGGAGTTTTTGTTACAGCTATTCACAGAAGATACGCTCCCTTTGGAGACAAACACTACATTGGATAATTCAAAGAAATAAAAATTTTTCTTGCGAAATATACTGTTTTCTGGGGCACGATTACATAACTTTCTCTTCTTAAGAAAAATTCGTAAGACGAAAAAGTAAAAATGAGTATTTGGTTACATGGGAAAATGACGGTTCTTGAATTAAACATATTAATCCCGAAATAAAACGAGCATTCCATGAGTATCGTGGAAAAAATTGAACTTTTATGTTCAGTTTATAGTTCCACAACTACCATTTTTGAAGGTTTTCATGATGGCCCTGTCTAGTGGTTAGGGCTTGTGAAACATATTGGGATAGATGTGATCGTGATGTTCCTTGACATAAAGAATCACATCAAGGTCCTTATGTGACCACCCATGATTAACAAGATGGGATTTTTCGCACTGGAATTTACTTATTCAACAAAACTGCACACACGTAGAAGTCCCTCCTTCGTGATCCATCCACTCTTTTGCCCATTGAAAGTACTTTCTAAAGGATCAATTTTATTTTCTCACACTAACGTGAGAAGAGAATGTATTGTAATCGTGCGCCGGAAAATAGCTAATTTTCGACACAAAAACCTTTTCTGCCGCGCCTTTGCAAGGAAAAAGTGGATAAATCCAGTTACTAAATAAAGAAAAAAATCATCTAACACGTGGTGTAGCCAGAATTCATATTTTATGCGTCCGTCATATCGAAAAATTTGTTCTCGGCAAAAACGTCTGTCTGTCTGTCGGTCCGTCTGTGCGCACACAATTCAGCCGATTTCTTCATAATTGATATTCTTCAATCGTTTTGGCTAATGTTGAAGGATGCTGGAACTTAAAACCGATACTGGGAGGGGAGGGTACGTTACATGAAGCCCCTCGGACATTTTCAAAATGTATGAAATTTCTTTCTCAAAAACCGCTCCAAATTTTTTCTTGAAATTTTCTTCACATATATAATAAGGGACGATACGAAATATGGAGCTAGTCTCATTTTCGGCTATTGCTCGTTTTTTTCGAAAATTGAAAAAAAAAGTTAGAAGATAGATTTTTGCCTCAAAGTCTGTTGCACAAAATTGGCTCTTAAAAAAGGTCATGTGCAATTTAAAAAAAAACTATTAGTTTTTGAGTAATTTCTGCTTGAAATTAATGAATTATATACATAAGGAGACCAATGTTTGTACAATGAAAAGAAGAAAAAAATTGAGAAAAAAGCAAAACATAAATAAATGCATCCTAACATTTTTAGTAATTCAAACAAAAATACACTAATTATGCTTATATCCCCTTTAATTATTTAATTAAACGAGTATTTTTCGGCTTATTTTCCGTCATCTCAATTATTTTCCGCTATCTGCAGTATTACATTTTTTCCGCGATACGAGTTGAAAATCCGCTGAAAACGGCGGGAATTTCGCCGACATTACAACCTAATCGTGTCTTTTCGAACTATACCATCACACAAACGCGTAACAGTTCGGTGCGGCACATCTGAATACAGATATTAACATATTAGTTTTAAAATATCGAAAAGGAAGACAATTTTCTAGGAAGGACAGGACCTATACTCAATTTGTATTCTCAATGTATTGATGTATTTTTTTAAGCAATACGGTAAGCTTACTAGAAATTTCGCAACAATGCCGCATCCATATTTGAGAAGCTAATCGTTGTCGAACGCCGAGAAGTGGCGGTGATAAGACACAGCTATTTTATTTAGTCCATTACGACCGAGAGCCAATACTTCCGTTTGCTATGAAACTCGGAGACGTTTTCAAATAATATCTGAGACGCTAGTAGCGCAGAGAATGCAATATTTCAATATTACGTAGCTGTTTTCAATAACGCGAGAAAGTATGCGTCGTTGTAGCTCCAATAGTTTAACTTTTCATACCTTAAGACCAAAAAAAGGGAAGTGGTGCCTAGTATTGGATTTTAGGTATAGAGCTTAATACACCCTTTTATGGTACACTGCAATATACGACATTCACGTTGTCAAGAATATTTGTCACAACGGAATATTAGTCGAATAAGTCAAATGACCGACGGCAACGAAGAAACATCATCATACCATCGTGAAAAACACAACCCGTTGTGCTTCGCGCATATTTTACGCCAATACCTTACGCGCTGTAGCAAAATAAATTCGATAAGCGCAAAAATGTGACGGTGCGGATCATCACTGGTTGGTATTATCTGCGTCCATTTTATAATTCCATTGGCAAATTGACGATACAAGATATATACTTACCTCCACACATTGGATCCAACTTTACCATTGGATCCAAATCCATCGCACTCCTTCCCATTGTACAGCACCCACAGCTTTTAACTTTTTTGACATTAAATAAATGAATCAATCATGCAAAATCTAAGGGACATAAAATCACTTTTGCCACATGTATCATACACTATTTTAGGCAGCCTTACTTTCCTTTTTATTTTGATTCAGGCATACAAATGATTGTAGGTATACAATTGATACAGGCATGTAACATTAAGGTCAGTAGCAGCTGATGGGATAAGACGGAAATACTTTGTTTTCTTTGTTGTATTAATAGTTTTACCAAATAGAAACAATAAGTCTGATTTGAGGTGAAACAAAAAATCATTGAATTCCCATCTAAATATTAATTATTCTGTTTTTGTCATCTTTAGCTGGTTTTGTAATGATAACTTGAATTACAAATTCTAGCAGAATCCCAAACATATTTACTGCACTCTTTTGTGGGCCCATTCTTTTATTTTCAAAAGAGCTTTGACACTTCCATCAAACCAGTTGTTAATCTCATATCTAGAAACGATAAAGAGCCCGATGTTAACTTGAATATTTCCGTAACTTTAATTGTCGAATTTAATAACGAAGAACGCTGCCACTTTCTCTACCGTCAATTGCGTGATTTCGAATGTAAGTGAACGAAATATTTTTTGTTTCTGGTGAACGACGATGTCTTCTTAAATTTTTCCATAATGCTTACAAGTTAATATTACTTTGATAACACAATTAAGACTCAGTAAAATCACCCAAGAGTCAGGGCGCAGTCCAAAAACACCGCCCCACTTCAGAAGTTCATACTGAGAGTTCGACACATCCGAAATTCTCCGAACGTAGAGATGAGTGGGAGGACTTAACGCCGGTAAAAGAATACGAACCGCTGCCGGTTGACGTAGAGAGTTGACGGCTAACTGTCATTTGAAGGTGTCAGCGCAATAATGGCCTATCCCCAGATCCTGGGTTTGGAGAAAATGGCTGATGAAGTTATTGGCAAAATTAAACACTCATTTGTAAGTGTTTTCATATTATGATATTATGTAAGAATGACCACTGACTAAACATTTGTAGTGGATTACATCTTGTGTAAAACAGCATCACCTATGCTTAGGCCACTATTGCACTAAGAAATGTAATCGTAAGCTGAGTGCAATAGTTCTTTTTGTAATTATAACTTGAAAACTATCGACGCGAACATGCTGAAACTGATACACGAGTGAAACGAAGTTAGAGAGTTTAAGATGTGATTAACACAGAGAACGCAATTTCCTAAAAATGTGGGATAGGCCACTATTGCGCTGTCACCCTCATTTCAATGTGCTAATATTAGCGATTCCTTTGCGATCTTCCCTTTGTTTAACGACTATTTCTCGGCTGTTTCGTAACTACTATTGTTTGAACATGCTTATATTTTCAATTTTCCACAAGCGACACGTTTTAATAAAAATGTATCCCACTCTTTTACATGTATGTGGGAGAGGCAAAGGGGAACGAAACGAGAAAGGGGGAAAAGAGGGGCAAACTAGAAAGAGAACTATGTCATTGACAATTTATCCTTCAGGTTTGCTGATATTCGTTCATTATTCATAAGTTGTTTATGGTAATATATTTATTGCACAATGGCTTCATAAAAGGGAAAATTAGCTTTCTTTAAAGCAGACATGTATCACAGATTAAAAATTACACATCAATATTGAAAAGAAATATTTACTTTTCTAAAAATATATTTACACTGTTTTGTGAAAGGCAAATGAATCTGAGACACTTGGAATTAATGTACATTACAGTCTTGTTGTAGCCTGAAGTTTAACATAGCGAGAGTGCTGTTGTACATCTATTGGTGCAGCAAGAAAACACTGGTGAGTAGGAAGCAGTTTGGGTTGCTTGAATAGTCGTTTAGAAGCTATATACAAACCAAGCAAAGAAATAAATGCTGCAAATGTTGCAGCCAATGCTATTGTTAATCCTCCAAGTGTATTGGAATTCGTATCTCCTTGAACCCAAACACAATGTTCTTGGGAACCTGTTAGTGGCACATCTCCCATTGTTGCACACACACGATATGGTCCTTTGGGTAGTTCATGGAAAGTCACTTTTGGATGAGAACAGTTCAAACGTTCTACAGCAATAGGAATATCACTGGCGTACACAGTCAGTGTAAACATGCAATACACACGAGATGAGAATTGACTCCACAATTGAACTGACACTGACAGCGTTCCAGTTTGAGTCGTGTTATAGCTGATGGCAACAATCTGTGATGTATTATTGGAATTGTGGATTGAATGTTGTCTGGGAGTAAGTTCCAAACGAATCATATCGCTGCACCCCCAATCTAAAGAGACTTCATCTGATTCAATTTCACCACTTTCTAATAGCAAAACACAATAACGATAGTTGTGACCTTGTTGCAAATCTGCACTTTCTAAAGACACTGTAAGAGTTGTTGGTTCTGGTACTTGTGAAGAGTTGCATTGCAGAGGAATTGATTCCACTGGCACTTCATGAACTCCCATCTCTTCATACACAATGAGGGAATTGCACGTGTATGGGATAGCACTCGCATCCACATTCCAGGATAAAAATACTTGAAGGCCGTCATATTGAAAGGAGTATAGAGTTGCCTTTGAGGCAGATACTTCCGATGAAGCTCCTTGAATTGACAAAGGTCCTTCTGGGGGAGCTAGGTTAATTTCTTCCTCTCCACATAGAAGATCGTAAGGAGGCACTTGAATCAACAGTCCATTTTCCAAAGAAGGTGGTGTTGCACAAATTGCCGTTGAACGGTCAGCTTCGGGCAATTGACTAGAATTGGCCAGCCAGGCAGCAAACTCGGCAAGACTGCAGTCACAGTTTAGCGGATTGTCTGTAACATTAGAGATTAATCACAATTATGGATACAAGTAACATTACAATGCATAGTTAATAATGTAACAAGTCGCAGAAAAATATCAACCGGTCGAAAATTCTTCGCTGCCTTGCAGGGGCGCTCGCGTAATCATGGCCGGCGATTGATATAAACCCCAAGAGGGTAGTTGACCCGGTTAATGGTCCCCCGCTATCTCCCTACAAAAATGTATATGAAGGGAAAAAATACAAAACAATTTTTTTTTCCAAATCGTCATGTTTATCAATAAATTGCAATCACGTTAATTTTATATAACTTCAGCTGTTCGTTTTTGCAATGAAAAAACTGAGCTGCACTTTTTATTTTTTATATCAACAGGAGTTATCCAACAGGAGCCAGCGGGTCGCATACAGTCAGAGCAGTGATGCAATTTGTGACCAGTGAAAGGTTATTAGTGAAAACTGAAAGCCCCTTCCAACCAAGTCGGGCGAGAACATAGCGCGCATGTCAACAACCGCTTAATGCAAAAATAAGTTTAGTTAAGATTTTAGATTTTTGCTAGTAAATTTAGAAATTCAAAACCATCCCAACGTGTTTCACTGCGTTATGGTACAGCCTGATGTTATCACGCGTGGTTCCATCCCCCCCCCCCGCACCAGAGTAGCCGGGCAAAGTGCTAAGACCGACAATACAATAGGCCAGGTGTGAATAGCCCGAGTAATGTAAATATGACCCGCAACGATATTAAAGGTTTTAGTTGTGACCCTTGAGATCTCGCAAGTTGGACACTCCTGATATAAAATGATATAACATTTTTTGCAAATCGATTGTGCCGGTTACGTCGCTAAAAGCATGTAAAATCGCAAATCGCAATACTATTGAGCCGAGAACGGAAATCGAGAACCAAAAATCAAATCGCAAATTGTGAAGGGAGGGATTTTTTACTTTGTGTGTGTGTGTGTGTGTGTGTGTGTAGAGTGTGTCCTGTGGTGTCTTTCATCCTAGTGGATCTCTTGACGATATCCCCGCTGAAAGAGACTCCAGATGGCGGCCAATATGGTACTCCCAAATTCCTCCTTTCAAAGACCTCGAGACCCGCGGCCCCTTTAGGAGGCCTTCACGCGAAGCCACTCGGTGGCGCCACCGATAAGTGGAAGAGCCCTTCACACGCAGCCACCGCCGGCCAACGCCACTCGCGATGCAGGCAGGCGGCCCGCCGGTGGCGGCGAACAAATGCAGCAGCAGAGGAAAGCCCGGTTCAGTCTGTGGCGTGCCTCGTGTGAACGCTGCCATTTAGATCTGTGTCCTGCTGGCGGTGGCGGTCTGCGCGTTCTCGCGGGAGACTACTACCGAGCGCCACAGCAGCGCGACTCCGCCGCTCGTGTGAATACCTCCATTTAAACCAATGCATTGCTTGCAGACGCGTCACACGGAAGCGCTGCAGAGTGGCGCCTTGGGAAGGGGCACTTATATTCAGAGTGTTTCTTTCTATACTGCTGCACCTTACACGAGTACACCCCAAGCTTAAACCAGTATTGGCGGTGTAGGGGGACACACGTAGGTAGTAGTCCTGTGGCCCGGAAGTAGTCCCTAGCAAGAGACACTTAGACCCAATGTACCCGGAGGTCGAACTGAGCACTATCTGAGGACACCTTTTCCAGCGGCGAGCCACGCCCAAGGGAACGACAATGTCCAGGAGCAATGTGCACTTCACGCTTCGCATGCTCTACGTTACTCAGAGAGAACAATAAAGATAGGATACATGTAAAAGGGTGATGCACGATTGGTGCACCCGCTTTGCCACGACACAAGAATATACAAAGGAACTTGGAAAGGTTTTTTTTAACAGTACAACTCAATAATAATTCGTAGGTGACTGATAGTTGCTGCGTTCTGAGGCATGTTCTTACTTCTACTCGTAAATAAAGAGAACTTTACGTCATATTAAAGAGTGCAATTGCGGCGGCGACGGTGTAACGGTTAGCGTATCGGACTGTTATACCCAAGTTCGCGGTATCAAACCCGATCGATGCCGTGGATTTGTAAGGGCGAAAAAATCCTTCGTACGCCTTCCCTCGGAGGGGAAGTAAAGCCGGTTGTCCCATGTTAGTAGATTTACTGTATGTAAAAGATCCTCAAGCCTAAATGAAGCCTTTGAGCTAAATTCAAATCGCCTGTTTCGCCGCCCGACTGATACCTTCTTTCTCCGCTAGTGGGTGAAACGCGCGTAGCGAAATTTGCGTGATCAGAAGGAAGAGCGGGTCTGATGGCGCGAGTCTCGCCACGTAAAGTAAGGCATCAATTCAATTGAATTCAATTCAATTAGCATTATCCGTTTGAAAGATTTGAAGAAAAAGCATCGGAGTACCCCAAGGGCTCACCTGCCAGCGTGAACCGTCGGAGGCGCAGGTCGGGCGGGATGGCGTCGCTGGCCACCATGGAGATGTCGTTGTCGTCGAGCCGCAGCTCGCGCAGGCTGCGCAGCGGCACCGTCAGGTCGGCGGTGAGCGCGCGCAGGAAGTTGTGCGCCAGGTCGAGCTGGGTGAGCAGCTCGAGGTGCGCCAGCGACGCGCCCGACACCGCCACGATGCGGTTGTGCGCCAGGTTGAGCGAGACGAGGTTGCGCAGCTCGCGGAACGCGTGGTCCTCCAGCACGTCGATCTGGTTGTGGTGCAGCGCCAGCGACGCCAGCGCGTACAGGTCGCGCAGCGCGCCGCGCTTCACGCTGCTCAGCTGGTTGTGCGCCAGCTGCAGCACGTGCAGCGCGGGCAGCGGCGGCAGCGTGGTCGGGCCCAGCGGGCCCACCATCTTGTTGTCGCTCAGGTCCAGGTCGCGCAGCAGCTGGAGACCTGCAAAAATAGTAATAATAATAATAATAATAATGATAATAATGAAAATAATAATATTAATAATAATAATATTAATAATAATAATAATAATAATAATAATAATAATAATAATAATAATAATGATGATGATGATGATGATGATGATGTTTGAAAGTGAGTCCCATATGTTGTACTGGGACCGCAGTATTCTGACAGATAGAACAATCCAGCACAATAAAAGCGATGTTACGCTCTGGGATAAACCCGCCAGGAAAGTTAGGTTTTTCTATTTTGTAGTAGTCAATATCAACAACATGATGACAACAATTCAAACAAAAATCGATAAATACTGAGATAGCATATGCAATGAAAGAACAATGGCACGTTGCAGACGTTAAAAAAGTTCCAATTGCCCTTTCAGCAACCGGACTTGTACCAAAACTTCTTAGCAGATCGTTAGACCTAGGTATGGACATCAGTATTATCATAGCTTCTCAAAAATGAGCCATCATCAGTGCTCATTGGTCAGAAAGTTCATGGAGCTTTTAAATTTAGCTATTATATTGTAATTTTAAGTTTGATATTTTATATTGTATATTGTAGAATGTTGTAAAGGTAAAACAAATCAGTTACCATGCTTTGATGTTGTATCTGTGTGGTAGCTGTATAAGACCAATAATTTGTGTGAAAATATAGTAATAATAAACAATAACAACAATAATAGAGGTAGAGGTATAAACGTGGAATAGGGGTGAAAATGTGGAAAACCAAATGACCTGGCTTCGGAAAGGCTGCGGAAGGGAACCTGGCTGCGAAAAAGCACTCAAAACGATGCACCGTCATGCATTTCGTCAATCCAACTTTGTTGTTGCAGAAGGCCATGCTTTACAAGCGGGAGACATTTAACGTTTTGTGAGGTAAACCTTTTGTCGTTAAGCACAAACTGTTGTGGGCATTGCGTTGTAAAGTAACGTACATGTATTGTATGGGGATTTCTGGTAGTGAGCTGTTGATACAGACATTTGATGTACGTGATTTCTACGACGTGTTGTAATTATAAATATCAGTATTGCATAAAAATATGTTCTCTCTGGTTTTCTAAAATTTTCTGGGTCTTATAAGAGGCTGGGAAGTGCAATGTATCACATTATTGGAAACTGCCTTCATTTCGGGCAAAACATTCTCGAGGCATCCACAGTCACTAGTTTTGCTCCTTTGAAAGCTAGTTGCAACCTGGAGTACATTCTATATTTAAACGATACTAAAGATCTGAAATCGTGAATTTGAGTGGCGATCATATTTTCAGTTGTGGCATGGCTTTGTAAGAATAGAAAAGTGATACATGGTAAATGGCAAATCCAACCATTCCACAACACACTGGTTTATTACCCATGCGCTCGTTACTGCAGAACGTCTTAGTGACATATCCGCTTGGGCCAGTTAAAAGAAGTTAGTTATAAATATGAAATAAAGAAGTTGGGAGGAGTCAATGTGGTTATGATAATGAAATATCGGCGAAATGGAAACTTATTAAGTCCATTTTAAAGAAATTTCAGTGTAATGTATATCGCTAAGTCACCAGTTTTATTTTATTTTATGAATTAATTCGCTGAAGTCCGGAGTTTGAATATTCAAAATTATCTATTTTTTGTTGTTAACTGAGGCATACAAAATTTATTTTCGAAAAACAGTATCATGTATAGCGGCTAAAAGAAAACCAGTTTAACATCTTTTTTAGCAAGAGATATTGAGTAGGCGAATTTAACAGAATGAACTTCAACTTGATTTATCTCAAAACCTGGTTTTTGGACTTAATAAGTTTCACTGTATACCAGCGTTTTTGCGCAATAACACATAATTCTGCGGAGCTGAGACCTTGCAGAGCGGACACCACCGCCACGGTGAGCTTGTTCCCTCGCAGGCGCAGCGTCTGCAGCGCAGGCACCGCCAGGAAGGTGTCTGGCGCAATGTGCGACAGGCTGTTCTCGCTCAGGTCGAGAAACGTCAGGTTTCGCAGCCCCTGCGGAAGAAACAAGCGATATGGTGGAGAGGTGGCGCATTATCTTATGTTTCCACCCATTAAATTAAGACGTATAGTGTTGAAGAATCCATACAATATTATTAAATCAAAGCAGTGACTCACAAAAAAATGATTAGTTTTCTTTATCGATTTTAATTACCACACACTTCTTACTGCACAATCACTTGCTTCGATTCATCTGTCTTAGGAGGCGATCCCCGAGTCGATGAGCAATAAAGCGATTGCCAATTGTCTCATTCAAACAGTAACGTTGTTAACAAAAAGAAATGGCGAAAAGAGGATGTCAGAGAAAAGAATAGACGATATTATTCGACAAGATCTCTTAGAGAACACCGATAAAGGTAGAAAATATGTTTAACATTTTTGTAAGTCCCAAAGCTACATATTCGGAAATGATACATCGAATCAATAAATTACGAACATTTTGAAGGAAACAAAATCAAATTAACCCATGTATTTGATGTTTTCGTTACGGACTTTCAATTTTGATAGTTGTGCTTAATAAGTGATGAAATATTAATAACGAAATCAAATAACCGCATATACTTCATGTTTTCGTTATGTGCATATTTTTTTTATTAATATTTGTTCTGTATTAACTTTTTCTTGAAGAGTATAAACTTGCACGTTATACGTATTTGTAAAACATACTACATCGTATATACGTTTAACCCAATCTCCTTGATTTCAACATTGCAGAAGTAAATAAAAAATGGAGGTTACACACATAGTAATTGAAAACATTGAAAATACGTTAACATACCAGATTAACTTTCATAATGAGCATTAATGAACCGGCTTCTTTAATTCAACTTTTATTCGTGAAATAGTAGGGAACTTCTCTAGCAAATTAATCGTTTTTTGTTTGTGTGTGTGTGTGTGCGCGCATGGAACAAAATGACCGCCGAAGTGGAGAAGGTAACATTTGCCGACTGATTCCTGTTTTTAAAAATTCACACATTTGTTTGCGCTTGAACTTAAATGTTCTTACTTAAATTACTTCAAGAAAGAGGCCACCACCGGACAGCGACATTTGGTGAGCGGCAATACAGCTGCAGCTGAATTAAATGGGCGTTACAAAGATCGCGAGCATTGGTGATGCGACATCGATAACAAAACATCGATGTTAGCAAACGTGGATGTTCAAAATTAAAACATCGATGTTAAAAATACACCGACTAAAACCATCGATGTTTTTAGACTGGGTTAGTAATCTCTAATATTAAATTCGTGTGCATTAACATTTACTTAGATAGTTTTCGCGTTTATCAATTCGCCGAATCGGGATATGAGAAAGGGCTGACCATACGCCCATCACAATGTGCGAAATAAATATGAAGAAAGAGGAAATGCAAGGGCATGGAGGACATCTCGGGCGAGAGTGGTTGGTCGCTGAATGTAGTACAAAGAGGTTTATTTTGGTTTGAAACAATATTACCATTAGTTGCATTTCATATTTTACTTTTACAGAATTGTGATACTGGGAATTCCACAAACAATAAATGGAAAACAAAAATGATCGATCACACAACATCTATGTTAGAATAACATCGACGTCAATTCATCGATGTTTAAAACAGTTTGGAAACATCGACATCCATGTCGCGTCCCCAGTGTGCATACGCCGTTGCGGGAACATCGTGTTCTGCAGTGTCTCACCTTGAAGGCGGCGGCGTCGAGCGCGCGCAGGCGGTTGCGCGACAGGTCGAGTCGGTCGAGGGCGGCGCGCAGGGGCCAGAGCGCCGCGGCGGGCGCCTCCTCCAGCAGGTTGTTGGGCAGCCCCAGCGCCTGCAGCGGCGCCGCCAGCCCGGCGAAGGCGCGCGCGCCCACGCGCTGCAGCTCGCCCGACGACACCACCAGCCCGTGCAGCGCCACGCCCGGCAGCAGCGGCTCGTCCGGCAGCGCCGACACGCCCACCAGCTGCCAACGCACACCCACCCTCACCCCCTTAGCCATGTAGCTATATTTACTAATTTTCAACGCGCGCACAGGTTGAAGGAAAACTATTCAGGTTTTGCCCTTTCGACAGGTGTTTAGAAAGGGCACGCCAACTAGCTGCTATGCGCACGCCATTCACTCAGTCAATATATATATATATATATATATATATATATATATATATATATATATATATATATATTAATTTTCCATGCGCGCACTAATAGAAAGAAAAGTACGAAGACTCGTTTTCAGAGGTGTCTCGGAACGACACGCCTACCAGCTGCCAGCGTACACCGTCAATCATTCAGCCATGTAGCTACATTTACTAATTTTTCATGCGCACACAAATTGAAAGAAAACTATCCAGTCTACCCTTTCGAGGGGTGTCTCGAAAGGGCAAACGAATAGCAAGAGGAAGACCGAGAGTAAGGCAACAGCAAGACCAAGAATAAGGCCAAGAGCAATATAAGAGCAAGACCAAGAGTACGACAAAGAACAAGACCAAGAGCAATTCAAAGAGCAACAGCAAGAGCAAGAGTCAGATCAGAAGTAAGCCCAAGATCAAGGTAAGAGCAAATAAAAGAGGAAGGCAAGAGCAACATCAAGAGCAAGACAAGAGCAAGAGGAAGAGCAAGGCCAAAAGTAAGACAAAGAGCAAGACAAGAGGAAGACCAAGAGCAAGGGAAGTGCAAGAGGAAGACCAAATCAAGGCAAGAGAAAGAGCTAGAGAAAAAACTGGGAATCAGACTAAAGCCTAAGACTAAGAAGAAGCAGAAGACGTGTTTACCGTGCAGTCGAGCAGCGAGACGGCTGCGGAGGGCGGCAGGCCGCGCAGGGCCGCGCCCACGGCCCGCAGGGCGCCGCGGCCGCCGCCGGCGCAGCGCAGAGTGTGCGGGAGGTCGCAGCCGCAGGCCACCACGGGCGGCCGGCTCACCGCCGGGCAGCGCCACGCCCCCTCGCCCGCGCCCGCGCCCAGAGCGACGACGCCCGACGGCGACGCGCCCTCCGCCGCGCCGCCGTCCTCGGCCGCCGACGCCGTCGCCACCGCCTCCTGCTCCCCGTCCGGCACCGCCCCCAGCGCCGGCCCCACACGCAGGAGCAGCAGGAGCAGCGGCAGCAGCAACAGCGACAGCGGCGTCCGCGCCTCCGCCCGCGCCCGCGCCATCTGCCGACAAACAAGCCCGTTAGTAGAGCAGGGAAGCCCAGAGGGTGGGGCACTTACAACGACTTACCCGAACTGTAAACAAAACTTATTTCCTCCCATACATAACAATAATAATAATAACAACAATAATAATAATAATAATAATAATAATAATAATAATAATAATAATAATAATAGTAATAGTAATAGCCGAGCAGCCGCCCGTTCCAGCCAATTGCTGCATTCGACGTAGCTAGGGAGCTAGTGTCGAAAATCCTGTCATCGTTGGGATTTGAACCCGATGTCGGTCAGAGTCGCTTCAGAAACAATGACAATACTGATTTTGAGCTTTACTCAGTCAGTACGAATCTGTTGTTCAGAAATACATAATTCGTGTTTCAATGGACATGATATTTTTAAAATTAATATAATGTGTATTTGATTTCATGCGATTTTACCAGATGACTCGTAATTAGCGCATTAGCTTTTCATGTGAAAGTATTATTTTCAGTACATTAGACCTTTACCAACAAATCCAATACCTAATTATTAATTCATTCGGATAACCCCACTATCAAACTATCCACCGCAATATGTAGGCCTGAACGGTCCTCATCTTATTGAAGCAAATGATAGTAGGCCAGACGATCCGATCGTGAGCAGTGGAACAGCCTGAAAGACTTTCCTAATGGAAGGGGTTCTTCGCTCAGACGGATATCTATTAATCTAGAAGAGAAAAGAATGAGAAACGGTTGGGCGAAAATGAAAGAAAAGAGTCCAGATTTCAAATTTCTCATAGTCAAAATAAAGAACTACAAATCTATACAGAACATCAATTCAGAAACTATGTTAATGTTCTCTGTCCCTGTACATTAAGGCAATTCTATTTTTGTACTGGAACTATAATTAGCACTTTTTACCCGCCCTCGGTAAAGTAACTTCACTTTTTTTTCCTTACTCGCAAATAAAGAAAATTGTTTATTTTACTTTCAGACAGCGATTCGATTTTGGTTCTTCATCACGAGCGGAGCAGCAAGAGTCGAGCCCAAAAAGACAAGGCTGAAAGTTACGACTACCTACTATTACGAGTTTTTGCCGGCAGCCTGTGAGCGTCAAAAGTCTTAATACGCTTCTGGCCGCTGGGCGCGCGGCTTGTCTGCGTCACGGCCAGCGCCGGTAGAGGAGACAGCGTGGCCGGCGGCGACGGCGACGGCCCTGGCAGCGACTGCACACTGGGCCTCAGCACACAAAGAATGGGGCCGAAAGAAATGAAATCACATTTTCCCAAATGCTGGATTGACTGCTTGATGATTCCGGGCGCGTCAACTGCTAAGGCCATTAGTCCTGTAAGTGTAGTGCATGTTTTCTCCTTCGGAGTGGCGGTGATCTTACCCCGCTGGATGGTGAGATCCGATGCCGAACTACCTACCGGCTAGCGGAGTTTTCCCCAACCAGGTATCTCCCATTAGCTGGGCACGGATCGATCTGGGACAAAGAGTAAGCTCCCGACCGGTCTCCCGGCATATAAGTATGTGGTAGTAAAGTGCATGTACGTAAACGTGTGTGTAAATAAGGGGCGAGGATAGGAGGAGGAAGAGGAAGGAAAAATCGCCTACGATACGTGACCCTTTTGTTAGGGCCTCCTCCATTCGCCTGATGTTGATCGAGAGACCACGAAAAAGATCAGAGCAGTTGGGCGCAAGAATTCTCCTCCAGACCGCGGCTGAATTCGACCTAGTGTCGAAAATCCTGCCACCGTCGGTACTCGAATACTAGGACATTCCAGGCAGAGCTACAGAGGCCCTGAGCCACATCTCCCTGAGTTGATTTCTGTTGTAGCCCACTGTGAGCGGTGGAGAGGAGGCGCGGGCGCAGAGACGGAGGTGGAGTTAAAGCGGCCGGCGCGTCACTTAAGGCAGCGGAGACGAAGCGAAAGGCAGCGGAAGTAGTGGGAGCGGTTGGGGAGGAACAAGACGATTGAAAGAGAACGGAGTTAAACAGAAAGCACGAAGGAAAAGAGAAACACTTGGAGAAAAATAAGGTGGAACTGGAAATGAAGAAGGAAAGAACGACGGAGAGTTCTGAAGGGCTAAGTTAGAAATTGAAGCGTTAGAGAAACGGTTTCATGTTTTTGTGTGTGTTTTTGATTACTCTTTAAGAAAAATACACTGTTAAGCAAAAGTTACATTCACGTGTGTTTACTTACTAATCTTAAATTTAAACCTTACATGTTATTTCAAAGGGACAGGAATTCTAACTTGGGGTCTTCCTGAATTTGGATCAAGCAATTCAACAAATGTTTTCAGTAATATGTACAATGCATATTTGTCTTTGATTACTGTTTGATAAGAGTTTTTGAAAGTCGAAAATGTGAGGAAACGGTATTTGAGGAGGGTTATAATACAAAGTCAGTGGCCAGATGTGTATTGATCAATTATTTTCAGGGTGAATTGGTTTTGGAGATGAGTATTAGATATGTACCAAGAGACATTAACTACTGTTCTTACGAATTTGTTTTATATGGCTTGAAGTTTATGTATGTGCGTTTTAATGGAATTATCCCAAATAGGGGTTACATATAATATTAAAGAGATTTAGAATTGTTTTGTAAATTACTAAGGCAGATTTATATTGGATAGAGCTATTCCTATGAATGAATTGTTCCAATTGTGAACGTTTTATTTTACTTTAGGTCACTATTGCATCGATGTTTTAAAGGAAAACCGTGGCAACTGCAGCAACCAATTTTAAGGAGGCGGTGTGTGTTTTGGTGGAGATTATAATGAAAATATAATTGTGATCGTTGTTGCTGATAGGGGAGGCAATTCTGTTGGGGGTGTTAGCGACGTCGATAATATATTTGTATTTTATTTATTTGATGTAGAGGTCACTTAATTACTTAGGCCATCTTCGCAAATTGTAGAAGAACAGACAATCTATTGATACTATAGCGATAATAATGATGAGGTGAAGGATGATGGAGAAATGGTGAAATGCGCATAGGCGTGCGCAGAGGGGATATGGGGACCGTGACCTCACTGAACCTTTCCAAAGGGATACATAGCCGTTTTTACCACCATTATTTTAGCGTAATTAACATTTTAAAAAGTATTATAAAGTTAAATAATTAATTACAATAATTTTTCACAATATGTTTTAATTAAATTCAATATGATTTGGAAAAATCGGTAAATTAGCGAAATTGTTTACGATATTATAATTAATAAGGCTCTCCAGGTCTGAAAATCTTGCAAATAATTCAACAGAAAGTCATTTGTATTTATTAATTGTAATTATTACAACTATAGCGTAATTCTGTTAGTAGTATATTTTTATTAGGAAAATATATCATAACATTAAAAACTTTACTGGAAAAGGGAGCCCAGAAATGTAGTTGCCCCCTCCCACCGCCTTGTTGATTTAGATTGCGCACGCCTATGGGAATGAGAGCAAAGGGAAATGGGATAACCCAGAGACCACCTGCAGAGATTCGCTTTTTCTTCACGAATTCCACATGGGTAGGCGGAGGGTTGTAACCAGTCTCTGGCGGCGGAAGGTAAATGCGCTACTCATTACTTCACCTCCCCGCTCCTAACACACCGATAACGCTAGTACTAGTTATATTAATGGTGATAATTATAATTACATTAGAAGTGATAGCGGCGATGACATTAGTAGAATTGTTGAATGGAAGCGGTGGTCGGGCAGACGTTTACATCTGCGGGTGATTATTTCGTGTTTCCGGGCGCATCAAGTGTTACGGTCATTAGACTCCTATGTGCTGTGTATTGTTTCAATCACGGGCGGTGGCAGTGGTCTTCCCCTACTGAAAGGTGAGATCCGGCGACAACCTACACTTCGGCTCACGGGATTCTCCCGTTTCAAGTATCCCCCACCAGTCTTACACCGCCCCCAGACGGAACAAGCTCTAAGCTCCCGACTGATCGCCAGCATTAATGGTAGAGTAGTGCGTGTGAGTGTGTGTAAGTAAGGGGGTGAGGGAAGGACAAGGAAGAGGAAGGAAAGATCGCGCGCTATCCGTTACCCTTTTTTAGGGTATTCATCTGGTCTTCGATTGTTATTGATCGAAAGAAAAACACAAACCAGAAAAGGCAAGAGCAGGGCGTCACTAAAATTCTCCTGCAGGCAGCAGGACCTAGCTATCTGGATGGAGTCGAAAATCCTGCCACTGTCGGGACTCGAACCCTCCCGATCAGAGGCATTGTAGTGAGGTCAATTGATGTCTTGAGCGAAGTCAGCCGATTTAGAAGTGCGGGTAGATGGTGCAGGTGGTCACTGTTAGTTGTGATGATTGGTTGAAGACAATGGCAGCGATTGTAGTAGTTAAGATAGTGGTGATGGGGTGATAGCGCAGGCATGTGTTAATGGCCCTGCGCTCTCTCTCCAGTAGAGGCGGAGGCGGCGGCAAAGGTGGAGGCGGGGGCGGTGGCGGTGGCGGAGGCGGACGCAGAGGCAGAGGCA